CTTCTTATAATTATCACTGCACATAAATTATCTGCNAAAAAACATTTTGACTCGAGTGAAGCTGAATAAGATAATTGTGGTGTCCTCACAACACTTGACTGTGCAATACTGCTAAACTCAAAACTCTTTCATAACTTAAATTCATTACTATATGTTAAATAGTAATGTTACTTTACTCATCTTAATGCTACATTTAAATATTATGTACATTGCTCTACATTTTATTAATCTATTAGAATACTTACAAATACGAGTCATTTACTTTCCGCTGTCTAAATTCTTGTTGACATGGTTACCGGAGAAAAAAAAACGTCAAAGATAGTTTGCTCATAAGAGTGTTCTCTCGGTCACGTTTCTGGAAATACAATACAACAAAGATCGTTTTGTAGCCCAATGTCGCACTCTGATCAAATTTCAAACCCAAAACTTCTACAATTAGCTATGAACGCATTACTGTATGAACTTTCTAATATAATGTACTACCTTTTTGTTCTTAATAGAAAGCAGTAAAATAAATGAAACAAAAAACTTTAAAAGTTGTAGAATATTAGCCAAAATTACTTATTTCAGTGAGTGCATTTGTATTCATCCTCCTTACACTGACACCCCTAAATAAAATCCAACATTCAAAAGTAAATCTGTAATTTAATCATGTTGTAAATGCAGCTGTATTAAATTATTAAACACCATAATTTATTATATAAACAGAATAAGTTAGGAGTAAAAATGTTTGGCAGCCATTTTGGTATTCAACATGGCAGTCTAATGAAGAATCTATATTTGGAGGTCAGTTTATTTAATGACCCCATCCAAGTTTAATGCTTTCTGCAAAAAAGCAAATGACATTTAATTTTAAAAAACTCAATTGAAGATAGTTAATATATTAAATTGCTTCTCTATAAACCTCAGCAATATCTGTCAGTATCAAATGCAATAAAATAAAAATAATTAAATTAATGAAATGTAACTACACTTTTTATTATTCAAAGGTCTTTATTTTACACTGCTAAAGCTATATCACAGAGAACATTAAATAAAAAAGTGACAGCCTTGGATGAAAATTTTGAGATGCAAAATAAATCATAAAACAGTCCAGAAAGGCTCACAGCTCAAACATTTTCATGTTGTAAAATAAACTTTAAAAACACTCAAAGTAATCTGAGAGATACAATAAAAGTAAAAGATAAGTTTTCCTCTCCTGCTGCTTCGTTTTCAGTAGTAGTTTATATTTCAGTTCATCCGGCTGCTAAAAGATTCCCCAATCAAACGTCATACTGTTCTTGGCGCCATGATTGGCACCTAAATCACAACTTTGTAACCATTTGAAAGACACAAAACACAAAAGAAAACTTAGAATACCAACAAGAGAAAATATTCTTCATTATTGTAAGAAGCCTGACACACCACTGGTCCAAATCTTCCAGCATAAAGGTCCAAGAAAAACACAAAAGTACAGATATTAGTACTCACAGTCTATAAGGCTTATATTTACAAAAAAAAATGTCTTCAGTCATTTTTTATTCATACATACCATTTATTTAACAGTGGTGCGAATTGTGTATTTTTTTATTTACCTGTTTGTATATACAGGTAAACAAACTGATATGTTAAAAATCAGTAAAATGTGCCGAGAAGCAGGTTTTCAACCCGATGGGATAAAACTCAAACGTTCTCTTCTTCTTGTTCTGCTGTTTTTGCTTTTTAAAGTAAAAACTGTCTGAATTCAGAAACATTAAATTTCACATATCACTTAAGAGTGTGGAAGCCTATGGTGCAAAAATTAATAAATGCTATTTTACAGGAGAGAAAAAATAGTGACATTCAGAAAATGTTGAGTATTAAACCCGTACTAAGGAAAAAATACAACTGTGATAAAGTCAAAATGAGAATAAAGTCACAATATTACGAGAATAAAGTAACATTACAAGAATAATGTCGAAATGAGAATAGTCTTAATATGACTGTAAAGTCAAAAATAATGAGAATAAAGTCATATTTTGAGAACAAATGCATAACATTCTGATAATACTATGATTTTATTGTGTTATTTCAACTTTATTCACATAATTTTATGATTTTTATTTTTTTAAAAGCTTATCCCTTGAACGTCTAAATAGGTCCGACCTTAACGTTTAAAGTGCCACTGCCTTCATGCTTTTAATGTTGTTGAACCATTCAGCCACTAGAGGGCAGCTCTGAGTTAGCTAGTATTTAACCGGAGAATAGCAAACATGGCGACCGTTGATGATGTTGATTCTCCGAAAATGAGATAAAAAAAGAGAGGCACTGCGGCAGATAGAGGCGGTGTGAGCTGCTATAGACATAAAAATTAACTTTATTGCGTGCGGCCGTTAAACTGATGGGAGTTTCTGTCGGCGTCGTTGTTCCTTTCTCTGATTTCAGGTGAGCTAAACTGCGATAAGTAGCTCCGTAACCGGTGTTTTTGCGCCGTTTTGATTCACTAAGATACGCATAAAATAAACGCAGAAAAGCAGCTGAGTATTTAAGCATAAGAAGGAGATTAATATGGATCATATGGCTCTTTCTTCAGGGCGGCTTGGCCGACATTGTGCCAAAAGATAAATAATAATAATAATAATAATAATAATAATAAAGACGTAGCCATTAGCAAACAGTTGCTAATTGCTTATTGGTTATAAAATCCAGCTCAGGAACTGAGAGAGTTCAAACTGCATGACGCAAGTTGCGTTTCTTTTAATGGTTTTAATTGCTGAAAATGTGAAGTGTTCATATATGTCAACAGCTAAAGAAATATTTATTTTGTTAGTTCAGATTGAAATTTAGGAGCAGAGGAAAACCACCTGCTGCTAAGAAAACTTTTACACTTACTAGTTTATAAAGCAAAATGGACATTTGCTTTGGATTTAATTAATATTCTAATGAAAATATAACACTGCAGACCAAATTAATGTGGCCCACAGTTGCTCCAATATTACCCGTTGTTGCTGTTTTATTCAAGTTTCAGACCTGAAAAAGGACATTTTAAACCAACTAACTGGAGTAACGGCTCATGTTAAAATCTCCCTGAAACAGGCATTTTAGCTCTTTAAAATGCAACTAGAAAATGCAAAATTCACCTTGTCGTTGAGACGTTTCCCAAAGATTTTACTAGTTTGAGAACTAATATTGATAAATTAATAAAGATAATCAACATAATCCTTTAGATTAAGTCAGTTTTCTGTTTTATGTTCATGCTCTGGTTTTGTTTTAGCTGAAAAGATAATGTAAATTTGGTGAATTGAGATTAATGTGATAAATATCACAGATGAGGATGAAAAAATTGATGCAGCTAAAAGTTGAGGTTCATAAAAGTTACATCAAAAAATCTCTACATTGTTTTTATCCCAACTTTTTTATTTTAAATATTACAAAATGTTCTGACTTGTCAAAAACACAGTGTCTTTGAACGCACCACAGAGATCGGCATGATTGTTACCGAACTGATGGTGTGGCAGAAGAACAGCTATTAAAATCATGCATTGGTCTTTTCCCATGCAGAAACCATAATTTATATCCAAAATAAAAGATGGGTGCAGAATAAAATAATCCGTAAATCACATTTCCATCAAATACCAACATTTGTTAAAGTACAAACTGATATTTAAGTATTTTCTAATCAATAAGCACACAAAATTTGGATTAAAGCATTTGGGATTTTCTGGCTTTACTTTTTTCAACCAAACATATTGAATGTGTTTATTTTTCCACATTTAATTAATAAAATTAATGTGTTAAAGTCCAAGCCCTTAATTAAACCAGACTGCATGAGTTTCTGCACAAAAGTTATAAAAAAACAAAATAAAACCAGTAAATGAGCAGTTTTCTAACAAAAAGTAGCTAAAACCAATTTTACTTCTTATAATTATCACTGCACATAAATTATCTGCTTTTTTAAAAATATGATTATTTTTGTCTGTCTTCATTTTTTAATTTATACATACCACTTATTTAACAGTGGTGCAAATTGTGTATTTTTTATTCAAATAATTATGTTTGGGAGTTTTAATGTCCCAGAAGTTAAAATAAACATATATATATATATATATATATATATATATATATATATATATATATATATGTATATATATGTAACAAATGTTTTAAAGCTGTGCAAAACAAAGGTTTGTAACATCAGCTGTGTCCAAAGTGCAATTTTTTTTCAATTAGAGCAAAATTATTACTGAAATATAGAAATATTAAATGCAAGTATTGGTGCTTTTATGTTCCTTGATTTTTAAAAGTTTTATCCAGCAGCTGTTTTTGCTCAAATCTACAGTTAATCTATTAAATTTGACAGAGAGAGGCTGATCCAAATCCAGCTGTTTGTCCAAACAGATTAGAAAAAACTTGTTTCTTTGAAAAAGGCAACCTTTCAAAATTATTTTTGTTTTGGTTGTGTGATGATTTACACTGCAAAATAACATTTTACCAACTATTATTGAGCTAATTTTTTAGTGGAAATATTTTAGTTCACTTGAAATCAGACAAAACTAACTTACAAGTAATTTTTCAGCATATATAGGATATTTTTAAGTAACAAACTGCTTAATATTAATGAAAAAGTGCTTCCTCCACTTATAACAGAGAAATAATCTACTGGTAAACTAGAACCTTTTCCATCAATTTTAAGGAATTATTGACTTAATACAGGGTGCTATATCTTGCTGAAAACTTACTTGTAATTTAGTTTTGTTTTAATTCAATTATATTAAGATTTTTGGACTAGAAACTAAACCACAAATACTTGGACAGATTTTGTTTTTGCAGTGTACAAAAACTTTTCCCTCAAAAATGACAACCTAATGCGTTTTATTAAAATGCTGCATGTCTAGTTTATTGTTGAACAATTGTTTTAGTTTTTAATTAAACAAATTTTTCATTTGTCATATTTTTGTGTTATGAAATAAGAATATTATGCATTAGATTCTAACAAAAAGTGTTTTTGTCAAAACCTAAAACAATCAGATTCAGTCACATTTAAAATAAAAACTTATTTTATGCCCATCGATGTTTTAAACGTAGCATTTGCTCCTTTAAATAAATAATGACCAATAAATTCAGTGAGAGCAGGACTTGACAGGATAAAGTCTGAAGTGGAGAAGGCATTGGAGCGAAACCAAACCCCTGATCAGGTCAGGCGAAAGACAGGAAGTGGATCCGTTAGTGGACTTTCCTTTTCCGGGATCGGTACCGTCTCTGTCTCTGCTTGTACAGATGTCTGAAGTTAATGAAGAGTCCTGCAGAAAAGCACAACTTCTGTTACAATGCAAGGCCTGGGAATCCTGGAAAATGCTTGAATTTTGTCTAGGTGTTTTCAAGGTTTGGAAAGTGCTTGATATTCAAACTGTGCAGTTTTGTAATAAAGTAAATTCTAATTTTTGAATAAAACCCAAAATTTAATTTGGAAAAGTTAATTACAGTTGAGACCACATGCTTAAAGATAATAAAGACATTTTTCTGACGATCTGAAGACCTTTTTTTTTTCTTGCTTTAAGTCAGTTTGAATCACCAGAATTATTTTTATTTACTAAATGCCAGAAAATTTCTGATTTAATTTCCAGATTTTCTACTCACTGGATGACAAATAAACATGTTTTAACCAAAGACTCACCAGACAGACACACACCTGCAGTTTTTGTTAAAAATTTAAACATTTTTTATTGTAAGAAACTGATTTAGAACAATTTATTTTGCCTGATTTTATTTTATGTTACTTAAATGTCATTTTGGTGCATCTGATTATGCAATTTTTAAATATTAAATGATTGATAATTTGATCGGTGACTCAGAACTTGTATAGACTTTTTACCAAATACTTTTTTACTCTTAATTGAGCAAAACATGTTGAAGAGCTGTTTTCTTCAGTATTTCACAGGTAAACATGCATTTCTCACCCAGAAACATGAGGACCAGGTAGAGCTGCAGCGTGTAGGAGAAACTTAACGAGTGTCCGAGTGCGGAGGGCAGCGGGACGCTGAACAGACGCGTCTCGTCAAAGATGGGCAGGGACTGGATCACGGCCACCGCTGCAAACAACAGCAAACTCTAAACGACCAAAACCCACCGCTGACGGCAGCTTCACCGGGTCAGAGGTCACAAACCTTCAGCTACGACCCCCAGCGGGTACAGAGGGATCCACAGGCTGTACCTGAGCCACGTCAGCAGCTTCCAGTCCGTGCCGATGCAGGCCAGCATGTAGAACGGGTATCTGACACGGAAAGAGCTGCAGCTGAAACACACGACCTGCTGAGCAACCAGAACCCCGGGTGACCCGAACTCACCTGAAGATCTCGATGGAGCTCCACAGGTAGAAGACAAAGAACACCACGGCCTTGTTCTGCATCTCGTCCAGGCAGCCGAAGACGACGAACAAAATGACGTTCCGCCCCGCCACCTACAGACCAAATATAAAAATAAAAATGAATGTAGGAAAACTGGAGATCAGAAAACACTTTAAGGATAAAGCAGAGGCTCCAGAGAGTCGATTCAGCAGCTTCTCGTAGGTTGACCTGGAAGTGCACAGGTGGCATCTAGTTCCATAGAGCTGCACCCTTTTTCCCTTTCTACTAATAAATGTAACATTTTTAAAAAGTGAATGTTTTGCAAACATTTAGCTGACAATGGGAACCTGATCTGCTGGATGTTTTGTCCTTTGTCAGAGTCAGGAAGAGAAACTTTAGATTAATAACAGATTTAAAAACTATGGACGCAACTAACGATTATTTTAGATATCGATTAATCGGTTATTCTGATGATTAATTGGATTTTAAAAATTGGCCCACTCTGCTGATTTTTTTATGCAATATTAGAAAAATATTAAAGATGCAAATAAATGTAGAATTAAATTTGTTTTTACATAAGAAAATACACATTTCCTTTGGTGAATGTTTGATCGTTTGTAGTAAAAGATTCATTTTAGCTAAAAATGAAAATACTTCTGACATCAGCATGTGGAAAGCTTGGTCCTTTCTGCATAAATACAGGGCAGGGCTGAGCTGGTGATTATTTCCTGGATTAGCTCAGTTAATAACTAGATAGTTAAAGATACTTTAAAAGATTTTTACACAGAATTTGAACCAGGTAGAACATATTTACCCACAATTTATTTTAAATAAGAAATGATTAATCATACTAATCGTTTCAGCCCTACTGGGGTCGGACCTATCAGCTTAGTTAAATCCAGGTGGGGACTTCTTTTAGGGACAGGCAGTTCACTTCCTGCTGTAACGTTACAAAAAGCAGAAGAAACTCAAGGCTCTGGTTTCAGTACCTGGATCATCGCAGGGAAGAATCCGGTTTTAACCAGACCCAGTAAGGGGTTGGCGACTTCCAGCACGGCCATCATCTGGCAGAAGTACATCATGTCCGCCGTGGTGTGGAAGGTGTCGTAGAACGAGTCTGCGGAGGCCGAGACACACGAGAACAAACGTGACTAAGTGGCACGTTGCACCACAAATAACGGAGATCATTTGCAAAACAAATCCCTGCAGCGCTGTTGTGTTCCTGTTTCTATTCAAATGAGTCGTTTTGTGAAAAGCTCCTCCAACCCGGACGGCAGAGCGCCGCGTCCGGCTGCGGCCGCCGGACTCCTGTTCTGTTTCATCGCAGTGTGAACCTGATTGTTTGGCTCTCCTTTCAGTTTTTATCATCCAACACTCGACCAAAATGTCGCTCCAGCATCTAATTATGAGGCCCATAAATTTTAAAAGCGGATATAGAGTGCAAACGTTCTGCAAGCGATTCCTGTTTCTGTTTTCTGTCAACAGTTGAAACCAGATATTTTATAGACAGTAAAGAATGTCTTTAAATAAAAGTTTGAAACAAAAGAGTATCAAGACCAATAAAGGAAAAAAAAAAAGAATTCCAAATTTTTTCTCCATTTTTCCCCAGAATTAATAAAAAAACAGACTCGATCGGGAATCACGTCAAATGCTCAGATGCTGAGAAAATAAAATCGTTGTGTATTTTAATCCAAAACATCTGATTTCAACCGTACACTAAACACTTAAATCAGATTTTTGGTTGCAGCTAAACCAGATTTTTGCCCAGTGAAAGACGATGCATGCATTTAGTGCGATTCTTTTTTTTAATTAACAAACCTTGACCGAGGATGAAGAGTCGAACGGTCATGTTGACGAAGATCCAGGAGAATCCCAGGAACTGCACCAGGTTGTACATGAACAGGTATCCCTTCTTCAGGCCCACGTAGGCTGAGGAAACAGAAAAGTTTCCGTCACCCACAAATAAAAATAAATGTCCATGTTGACAGAAAAGTCGACAGTAGCAACACTGATGGTAGAAATTGAAACGACTCACGATCTTTACGAACTCTCGACTCCACGCTGATCTTGTTGATCTTCTCCTCCTAAAACAACAAAAAGTTTTTGAGCTCCATATTTACAATGTTTACATTTCTCATTGGTCAATTTATTTCATTAAAAAAAATCATGGCTTCCTGTACACTAGCTTTCAAGCACTGTAAATAAAATCTCTCCCATAGAATCTTATGGCTGAACTCTCAGGGACTCCATATTTCCACCTTTATCAGACTTTATTTGGGAAAACAGGCTGAGAGCAACGTGGGCTAATCTGCAAACACGTCATAGTTACAGACACTCTCCCTGACCTCAACGCGTTTGCCAGCATGTCTTTGTCTTTATCTTGCTTTAAGTGCCATATCCACCCAATGGCATCTTTTCATCCTACTTATCAGTTATTATTTGGATTATTGCCGGTTAGACACTGTGGAGTTCTCACTTCTAACCCAGAAAAGGAATTAGATTAGTCACTCTTTAGCTTATTTTTTAGAAAATATAGAGTACTCACTATTTAGACTAATATTCTTAGATTAATTTTTAGATTATTATGCAGAGAGACTCCTATTACTGCAATCCAGAAAAGGAATTAGAATGAAGTTAGAATCCAGAAAAAAATCTCCCAGAACAGGAACATTTAGCGTTTATCATTACTTTAGAGCATACTTAGAAAGCCCAGAGAATATTTACTTATACTTATCTAGCAAACCAGGAGTATCTAGTTTACATTCTTTAGATCAACATTATTAGTTTACTTTTTCTCCTTTTGCTCTTTCTTTTGGTTTGTTATTTTTGTTTGTATTTCCTTTTGTTGCTGAAAATGTGCTACATAAATAAAATTACCTTACTTTTCAATTTATTAACAGAATTCACTATTAAAAGTTCCAAAAATTAATTTTGGTCCATTTTAAACATATTAATGAATGAAAAAGAGGATAACTCTGCATAAATCTGCCAAATGAATAAACATAAATGGACGGATGGGTGGATGGATGGATCTATAGATGGATGGATAAACTGATGGCCGACTGGATGTTGTCGGCACTGAAATCTCGTTCATGATTTAAAAGTTTTCCTCTTTTCTCCCTCAGAGCGGTTCGTCTGGTTCTTGCCTTGGCCTGGAGCTCCATCTCAGCATCCGACTCATCCAACCAGCGGTCGAAGTCCGGAGCCAGAAACAGCGGCTTCTTCTCCCGCAGCGTCAGCCGCTCCCACCAGCGCTCGTCCTGCTTCCGGATCCTAATGTCCACCTGGCGCTGCGTCGACTTTTGGTGGATCTACAGCAAACCGAAAGGACCAAAAGCTTCACCTCACTGGGAAACAAATGCAGGGCAGCTTAAAAAGAATAAAACATCTATATATGAAGCCGTATTTGTAAATACGGCTTCATAGTCCTGATAAAGTCATAAGGGTTCATACACCTTAAAACAGGAAAACTAAACAACTTTTCTATCAATTTAAAGGAAATTTACTAATAAAAACAATACAAATCTCTACAACATTTTTCTGCTAAACTTTCTGGAATTGAGCAAATGGAAATAATTTTGGTGATTCTAACTGACATAAAACAAGAGAAATTTGGTCTGATTTAACTTCAGACAGTGAGAAAAAAAGAGTGCATGTGTCCTTTTATTATCTTTAAATATCTGGTTTCTACGAATGAGTATTAAGGTCATCGTAGTTACAAAAGAAGTACATTTCTCCCAAAAAGTTTAGAAATTTTGAGGTTAATCTCAATATTCTCTGGAAATCTTGAAAATTAATTTTTTTTCTAGAAAATTTTTCATTTTAAAATACTTTTTGATTTTTTTTTCTAGCCAATTGTTGATCTTAGCAGCTCGGAAATTTCCACGTATTTTTATTTATTTATTTTTTTTCAAATTTTTTTTATATTTGAGATTAATATAAAACATTTTCTGGAAAAAACATGGAAACGTCTGCGTTCTAAAATTCTACATTTTTGACTTTTGAATCTCAGAAATGTTTTTTTCAAAAAAATTTCTGTGTTTGAAAAGTTGAAAATTCTAGACAACTGGACATTTTCAGAGATTAATCTAAAAATTTCTGAGTTTTTAGGTGGAAATTTACTTTTTCCCTCCTCTATCTACTATGGCTCTAATACGCTGTCGCAGGTTTCAACTATAAGTAACTTTTTCCAAATTTAGACTTTAAATCAAAAGTTGGTTGCACTTTATAACGAAACTCTGCAGTTTGAATATGAAGCATTTTTAAAAACTTTATACAGAAATCAAGAACTTTATAAACCTTGAAAACATTTAATCAAAACTCAAGCATTTTCAAGGATTCCAAGCACATATTTGAACTCTATCTATCTATCTATATGTGTGTGTGTGTGTGTGTGTTACAAGATTTTGTTTTCAGTCATAAAACAGCGGTTTGGAACATTAACTATTACAAAAAGTCAACAAGTTTATATATGTAGCTGGTAATTAAGATCTGTAATCAAAGGATATAAGGAATTAAAAGTATAAATTGACACAATTTTAGTTTTTATTCTGATATAAATAAAAAGTCAAACCCAAAATAAATGAGCAACAAAGTATCTAGACCTCAGGTTTAACTGGTTCCAGGAACTCCAGGCTGAACTCGTACTGGTTGTCTCCTTTAGCTCCATGACCCTGAGCTGTGGAGCAGAAACAACATTTTAACCGTTTGTAGAATATTTATATCCAAAGCAGAAGATTTATGAACGGAGGAGACAAACCTCTGAACTGGAGTGTGTTGTGCCCCTGCAAACTAATATCAACATCCTGGAAAACACAGAAAACTGAAGATTAAAACCAGGAAAATGGACTAAATATCAGGATGGAGTTTAAATCTAAGCTTTTATTTTCTAAACTGTCTCAGTATTTCACAGAACAAAGTGACTTTCTACTAACCAAACTTACAATGAAGACAAAAATCAATTTCAGACCTCAATAATTGGTGATAAAGAGTATATTTTATTGGAAAAACAGAAATATTTACTTTATACTTGAATGATTATTTTTCTATTGAATGTTATTTCTTATTTTTAAAGGCTTACAGAAAGTGTCATGTGGTTGTACTTTAGTGTTATTTAGGTAAATGACTGATGTGTGCAACCTGACAGCAGGTTTTCTGGAAGCCTGTTTAAGCTTTAATTAAGCAATTCTTTAAGAAGACTGAACAAGATCCGGAACCGCCATGAAAGGTCCTGCATTTTTTATAAGCTTACTACCCAACAGATGATACAGGATGAGAAGGTTTTAACCTGCAGCTGGGTATGACAAGATTCAAAGCAAGAGCCCATCAAAAAATATCGATAAAGAACAAAAGTGTTTATTTTAAAAACCACATCTTCTGGACCTTAGCTAAGCTAAACTGCAGATAAATATTAAGGAAACACTTGGGTGCTTTAAATTTTGTGAGTCGCATTTAATTGTTTGTTTTAGTTTAGTCGCCACAACTGAATGTTAGAGTTCAACTTTCTCTCACATTATCTTTTTAAAAACACCTTTACTTTCTCTTGTTTGGTCTCAGGTTAGTCGGCACTCGTTTTGCTACTCCAGCGTGCTGACGTCATGCGCATGGACTCTTTAAATCTAGCTAAACCGACACTAGCTAACAAAAGAACTATAGGACAACAGAAAACAACATTGCACAGAAAACTGTGAATAATCCTAATTATTTTAATTATTAATGGGTATGTTTTGGCAAGTACTTTAACCGCCAGTTAACCCACAGCTAGTGGCTGTTGGGTCGGACTGCCTCACCGAAGCATCGCTCAGTTCCACCCGGAGAAAAATCTCTCCGTGCCGCTGCGCCCAGAAAACCTGCGGAGTCAGGATCTGCATGTCCACGCTGCGATAACTGGTGATTTACACGCCACGAAGAAGCAGAAAATTCATTCAGACTGATCCATGGAAGTCCTCATTGAAGACTCGGAGCGATAGATGGGGGGAATCGACTTCCGGAAGCAAATTATGAAACATATTTCAAAGTAAGATAATACTTGGGCGACTTCAAAATAAAAGCGTCTTCTTCCGCCTTGGCTTTTAAACTGTTGCCCACATTCAACGTGTTGGACTGCTACCATCTGCTGGACTTGCGAGGTTACTGCAACGTTCCACCCAGTTTTTCTTTAATTCTTATTTTAATATTTTTCAATCATTTTTACAGAATCAGAAGTACAAAATGGAAACGTTACATTGGAATTAAATATTTTTGATTATCAACCACTGCAGCAATCATTTTCAGTTTAGTTTATTTCTTATCCTCTTAACTCAGACTAGGAATCTCTAGTTTACAGTATATTGGAGGTGTGACATATTGTTCCACAAAAAAATAAAAAAAATAAAAAATTGGCATCTTGTTTCTTCATATCTAAACGTTTCATGTTCAATTTCAGGACTCAAATTAGTGCAATAAAATATTTAAAGTATGAATATGGAGACACAAAAAAATGACCAGATACTTCCATAAAATGGAAGGATGAATGGAAATATTTTTCCATGTCATTTTGTCTTTTCCAAATTTTCTAATACGTTTGGTAGGGTTTAATGAATATCTACATGTTTATGTGAATTTTATCTTATTAAATGTGAGTGACTTTCTGTCATTTTTGTGCTTTTGTGAATATACAGCATGTTTTTCAGCTTTCTTTTTGATTCTTTTTTCTTTTCCTTAATTTTAATATTTTATACATTTAAATGGTTGATTACTGTAAAGTAAAAGTCTAAAATGTAATACAGCGCTGTTGTGTAATTTGGTTATACATTTCTGAGATTTTTTTGGATATTTTTTTTCTTACCAGTAATGACAAATATTGTTACTTTGTTATTTACAGTTATTTAAACTGAAGGGAAATTCAAGCAAGATTCTCCGCAGCTAGCAACAAACACCTGGGGTTCTTGAACGCATCATAAATCTAAACTTCAACATTCTGGTGAAATTTAAGGATAATCTTAGTTGTTCATTATCATTTTAAAGCGGAAACCTCACCTTTTTCGGGTATGGATTGTCATAACTGTTCTCCCGGTGCCGTTCGGTACCGCCTCTCGGTTACAAAGTGCAACCCTCCCGGAAGATTAGAAAACCAGTTTTATGTGAAAGTTCGCCGGGTGAAAGGACATTTTTACCGAGAAGCAGACGCTACTAAAGCTGTGACTTTCTTCCAGTTTGAGACATTTGTAGGAAGATCTGCTGCAGTTGTAGCTGAGGTGTTTAAATACAGTTTCCTTTAGGATGAAACGGAGAGGTGAAACCACCGCGGAACCGTCCGGAACTCCGGGTCTCTCCACGACCAACACCGCAGAACAATCAAAGAAGATGAGGGTCATTTACGTCGTGTATATAATCGTTTCTTTGGATATAACCTGGATGTTTTTACAGTTTTCTGTTACTCCAGTAAGTAATTTCTCTACTGTACCCGAATAGGAAACTCACATTTCCGTGATCTCCTTGAAACGTGCACGACTCGGGGATGGTAAATCTTACACAAAAAGAGTTAAAGTTTGATTTAAATGGTACAAGAGTTACAGAGATAGTGTAACTTTATAGGTTAATCTTATTTAATTTGATAGAAATGCTTACAAAAGTATTATATCATACATTTCCCGTCACTGGAAAAAGTACAAAAAGTACATTTTACATTATTTGTACAGTATTAAATAATTTGCGTGAATCAAATCTTTAAAATAACTTGGAGTACTATGTAACAGTTTAAAATCAACTCAAACTATATTATTTTTGTCTCCAGATTAGACAGATTATATTGTAATCACTTAAATTGGTCTCATTCAGCATTTGTACAGATTAATTTGGACTTTGGCTGCTTTTTCACTCTTTTTCTGGTACACAGTAAAAACTGCTGGGTTAAAAATAACACAATTCATAACCCAGCACTGGGTTAAATACGGACTGACCCAACGCTGGGTTGTTTTAACTCAAATGGGTTGGGTTGAGGGTTTGACCCAGCACACTGGGTCATGGCAACCGACCAAAGGTTGGGTTAAAATGACTTGGTTAAATTGACCCAAAATTGGGTTGAAACTCATTACCCAACACATGGGTTATTATACCACTATAGTTGGGTTAAAACAAAAATTTATTTTAAATTTCACTATATAAAAACAGGATTAAAAACCATATGAATTTAAAGATTCTTTTATTTCCACGTGATACATATACATAGCCAGCAGATTTCATTTACAAAAGTTACAAAACATAAGTAGTTAAATCACTTCAATTCATTTGGCTACAACTCCAGAAGTATCTGTTACTCCACATTAGAAAACATTTAATGAAAAAAAGTCTGTTTTAAAGCAAACTACAAGTAAACCTTTCAGCCATTAAACAAGGAGCATTTTTAACGACACTTTAGCATTTTGCCTGTCTCCCTGCATGAGGACATACGGGTTGTCACATTTTGTAGATGCACCACCAGGTTTGTCCCAACCTGATGGAGAGAGAAGACAGAAAAAACAGGCCATTAGTGATGCACTTATATAAACAGCAAACAATTTGAGCATGATTCAGAGATGAATGTTGACTTACAGGCTGGATATCAATGAAGCCTTCTGAACTTCCAGGTTGATGGGTCTGAAACTCTTCTCCCAAATTAGTAAGGTGGAGCAGGGAGGAGAACTGGCAGCAGCTGCAGGACTACATCACCTTCTGTATCAAACATAAGCTTGTGTTAAAATGTTGCAGTAACTAAAAAGCATGAAAACATTTTAGAGAACATTTCTTCTGAGCTTCAATACCTTGAGGGAGCAGACTCATGTTCTTGGCCATACAGAAGGTCTTTGTTGAGAACAATGAGTTTGGGTTTTGCTCAATTCTCCTGAAGATCCTAGATGTAAAATTATAAAATCTATCAGAAAAGACAAAATCACAAATCAAACTTTAAGAATGACTGAATTCAATCTCATAGCTGTCTCCACTGCAAATAACCTGTAATTAGCCAGCAATTTCAAATGTTCAGAGTAATTTGTATGTTCCTAAAAATAAATATAGCACTTAATAAAATAAAATTACATATAATTTAATTTGGAAGTAAAACTCAATTTAAATACGAACTTAGTGCTGAATAACTTGATCTTCTTTTTACTTACCATGTCTTATTTCAAAGTAGAGGAGAAGTCCGATATGCAGCGTTCGTGTTGAAAAATGAGGCTTGTGAAGAGGGGCGTGGCTTCTTCTAAGTTTCGTCTTTTACCCAACCGTTTGGGTAAATCTACCTGGCCCAACTTTTAACTGATTTTTAACAAATTTCAACTGAAACCCGAAATTCAGCCTCTCACAAAATATCTTCCAATTAAGTGTTAAGTGAGCTCTACGAAGAGTTTATTGGTCTCCAAGACCAATAAATAAAGAAAATGGTGTCAAAAAACATGATAATTGTTTAATGCAATAATTACTGGGACAATTTAACCTCTAGCAAAATTTGTTATTGTGACAGACCTTGTTGCCATGGCTGTAGAAAGACAATTTTCTTCTCTTTGGTTTAGAATTGGGAAATTAAGTTAAAAAAGAAAATAAAAAATACAAGGCCAATACTTCAATAAATATATGCAATAACAAAGTTATTCTTTGCAAAAAAGGAAAAGAAATTGCTTCTTCTTTTGCCATAAAGAACTTGCTTGTTCTTTTTTTTTGCTTGAGATTTAATACAGTCAAATATGTCGTCTTATCTGTAAAATGGTTTTTGTAACTTAACCCTCCATGTTTCAGTGTTGACAATAATCCCTCATACTATGTTCTATCACAAAACATCCCTGTGAAATACATTAAAGTTTATGGTGACAAAAGGAAAAGGTGTTGTACTAACAGAGTATCCGTTTTATTTTCTATATTTTATGTTTTCACTCTCATTATATCTCCACAGTATTTAGCAAAGAAACTTGGATTTGACACGTTGTGGTTTGGTTATTTGCAAACTACAGTCGGGCTGATTCAGCTAATTGGAGGCCCTATGTTTGGGAGGTGGGTATGAAGTATTAACGTCACAAAAATGGCTACCTATTTTTTAATATATGTATTATATGTATATATATTTGTTTATGTTATTTTTTCGGCAGGTTCGGGGATCTCTTTGGGGCCCGTGCGGCTTTGTCTCTGGCTTGTGCAGCAACCACAGTTTCCTTTCTGCTTCTGGCCGTCGCTAACCATCCCGTCCTGCTGTTCGTCCACAAACTACCTACAGTATTTATGCACGTCTTGCCTGGTTAGCATCACAAATTAGCCACAAAACCTGGTTTAAAACAGATCAGTTAATTGTTTTAGAGTTGTAATCGTCATATTCTGTCTGCAGCATGCCAGATGGTTGTTACAGACCTCACAGAGCCGGAGAAACGGGCCGATGCTTTGTCCAAACTGGGTCTGTGTTTTGGTATCGGGATGATTGCTGGATCCACATTGGGGGGAAACATAAGCATGCGCTACGGGTGAGCATCACTAGCTGCGTTTCCGTTACAAGTGTGCGCAAATCCTTGTCGGTATCCCCGAAATGTTAAAAAAAAGACAATTTTACAATTGCAGTGTTTCCATTAAATTAAAATCACACGTGAATAAATTTGTTCACATGTCATCAAAAACATGCAGCGCCATCATCCCCCACTTCCCTCCTGTCGTCTTCGTTTTTTCTAGCAGTAACATCCAGCTGTTGATCATGTGTGATGTGAAAAAAAATTGTTTCCAAGCAGTTTTGTGAACTCCATCTATTTTGATATGGCCAAAAAGGGGAAAAAAAACTTCATCTTAGCGCAAAAGCTTTATACAAGTTTTTTAAAAATTGGCATGTTTCCATGTAGCAAATTTTATTTTTCAAATGTCAACTTGCGTAATTACATGGCCAATGGGGAACACAGCTAGAGTGTTATACATGGCATGGATCCTGGCATCATTTCTGGAAATGTTCCTGCATTTTCTTGTTTTCTTCAGGGAGACGTTTGCAGCCTGTGTTGGTGCTGCAGGGAGTGCCTTCAGTTTGCTGCTGGTTTTAAACTTCATACCAAAGTCTACTAAATCTGAGGCTTCCAGAAGCACCACTAAATGTAAGAAAGAATACTTACTGTTCATAGCTGATTCTGAATCTGTAAAATGGTGTTGCACTCAAGTTCATTGCATGAAAACAATTGCCAAAAAAGAACATTTTATGTTCTTAACTAAACCTATTACAATAAACAATTAATCATTTAATGGCATGATAAATTAAAATGAGTTTGATAATTTCCATTCTGAGGATTAATATTTTTGATAATATAATAATATTCCATTTTATTCATTTATTTTTTGCAAAAAAAAGTACTTCAATTTTATTTATTATTTTTGGTTGTGTTTTCTTTATGTCTCACAGTTCAGTGTTAAGTACATTTTACAAGATTAAGGAATACATAGTTTCATGTGACGTCACATTTGTAGCTCAGCCATCATGACAGGTAGTTGCTATGACAACAACAAACAAACAGCAAGCTTAGAAGTAGCTCTCGCCTCGTTCCCAACTTATAACCAGTTTTGTACATTGCAACAACTCGGTCGCAATTTTTGAGTACTCTACCCACCGCTGTGTAAAACTAAGATAAATAGTGATATTTACTGAAGTTCTCAGGCTAGCAAACTTGCAAAATTAGCTTGGCTAATGTAGCTTTTACCTGCTAGCGAAGACGGACATGTACCTGCTCTGCCAGTCATAAGGACCTTGTTCACATGAAGGGTTACGAGCTCTTCGTGTGAAGATGTTTAAACGTCCTTTACAAATCCGTTTAAACATTGATTGATTGGGCCATTCAGACTGCGGTGAAAAAGCCGTTTACAAGTTTACGTTCGCCTCATATGCACAAAATCCGGTGGCCACAGATTATGGTGCATCACCTATAAAGATAGTTTTTTTTGTTTGTCTTTAATGTAGTGTTCAACACAATGAGAAATATCAGAATACACTAATATAAATAATATAAAATAACCACCGGAACTGGCGGATCTTTCACACGTGACGTCCGGTTACCGTCGTAGCCTTGGTTACCGAGGCAACGAGAGAATTTAAAAGCTATGAAACCCGGTGTCGGGCAGAAATAAAAAATGGAGGTCTTACAAAATCTGAAAGCTAAAGTTCAAGGAAAGCATTTAAAAAAGGGCATTTTCCTTTCGCCTTATCAGCACCATGTTTTGTCACATATCCTTCCCCAAGTGGATCGGGAACTCGCTCGGATGCAGAGCAAAAACAAAACTCTGGAAAAGGAAAAGAAGGAGCTGCTGAAAAAGGTGGAGCATCTGATTATTGACACAAACACGCAAAAAGTCGACCAGGAAAAAGTCATCAAAGTTTTCCAAAACCGAGAGCTTCTCCGGAGCCAGCTGGGGCAGTGCAAAATTCAGATGGAGGTGATGGGGAGGAAGATAAACTTACAAGAAAACGACTTGAAAAAGGAGCGCAAGAAAAACGAGGTCATCCAGCAAGAGCTGGAGTCGTTGAAGAAAGAGTTGCAGTTTGTAAAACAACAAGCGGCCAACCAGAGAGTGGAGCACCAAACCGTGAAGGACGAACTGGACAACGTCATCAAAGACAGAGACGTCCTTTGCAGCAAGTTGGTCAACCTCCAATTTGAGTGTTCAGATCTGCGTGGGAAGATCAACTCCCAGCAATCAAACCTGACCCGGAAGAAGAACGAAAACTTGGAGGAGAAGCGCCACATCCAATTGCTGAGGCTGGAGAACCAAAAGCTGGAGAGGGAGAGGAGCTTCCTTGTTAATGAAGTGGAGGAGACAAAACAGGAAGTCCGAAGGTTTGAGGAACAGTGGACGGAGAGGAAGAAGGTGGAGAAAAGTTTGAGTCAACGCTCTTTGGACAACCAGGCAGCGGGAAGAACCTCAATAATCCAACAGAAATCAAAATGGAAACCCAAACAAATGCCTCCAGAGTACCTGCAGCTGATGCTGATCAATCAGGCTAAAGAGCTGAAAAGGAGTCAAAGGTTGGGAGAAGAGCTGAAGAAAAAGCTAAAAGAGCTGTCTCTGAAGCACCAGCAGAGCCAAGCGGCGCTAAAACTGCACAAAGAAAAGCTGCGGGCCGCCATATCGCAGCGAAACGCCTTCCAAACCGAGATGGAGCACATGCAGTGTGAAATAATGATCATCCAGAAGGACAAGCTCGGGGACAAATTCAAGAACTGGGCGCTGAAAAGGAACAAGATGATGAAAATGTCAAGTGGAGACAGATCCAGCCGGTGCCTGCTCTGCACTGCCAGATATGACCTGCAGATGGCAGCCTCCATGTATCCAATTTAGTAATCACTGGGAAGATAGTGCAACAATAAACAAGTTGCTACCAGATAAAAGCTTGTTTTTATGGTTAAAAAATTCTGAGTCAAATATGCAACACTGAAAATCAAAACGACTACAAAAATATTTTACTGATCCCAAAGGGAAATTAAATAAAAAAACAAAATACACAAACACTACAATGGTGAATTAGGGCAATTGGTACGGGAAAGAGGAGTAAATTTCTGCTAAAAAATGAAAATTTGAGATTAATCTTATACATTTTCTAGGAAAATTAAATAAGGACATTTCTGAGTCTGAAAACTCAGACATTTACTAAAAACAATTTCTAAAATTTTCAGATTAATCTCAGAATGTTTTTCATTTTAAAAAAATCTAAAAATTTATTAGAAAAACAAAATCTTAAATTATCTCAGAGAATTTCTAGAAATGTTCTGAGTTTGAAAAGTCAAAAATGTTTTGCTTTTCAGCTGAGTTTCATTCCATGTTTTTCTAGAGTTTTTTTTCTAGAAAAGGTTTACTTTTCAAACTCAGTTCCACCTCTTCTAGAAAATTTCTGAGATTAATCTAAAAATATGAGATTTTACTAGCAAATTTTTAATTTTACAAATGCAGAAATTACCTTTTTAGTAGAAAATTTTAGAGATTAATCTAAAAGTCACATTTTAAACTCAGGTTTTTCTCGGAAATCTGAGATTAAAGAAAAAGAAGCTGAAAATTGTTTTAAAAAGTTTTATTTATAATCTCAGATGATAGATTCTAGTTTTAACAGAATTAATTATTTTAGTGTATTTCTAATATTGTGTAAAAAAAAGGCTTATGAGATTAAATGAAAAAAAAAATCAGCAGAATGTGCCAATTTTTTAATCTAATTGTCAGAATAATCAATTATTAAAATAATCATTAGCTGCAGCCCTTGTATAACTGAGTTTTTATTGTAAATCTTTTATTCTAATTTAAGATTTTGAACCGGGCATTTTTATCTGGAAACTATTTATGAAGGAAACACTGATGACTTTTCTTGGACTTTCCTACAGCTGAGAACCAAAACAAGAAGGTGTTCAGTTTGGGGGAGATCACAAGGCTGATGAAGTTTCCAGGCGTAACGAGGATTTTTCTGATCAAAATCATCGCAGGTTTGCCATCAGGTAAGAACTATCTGCAATAAAATGAATGCACATTTGGACACATATGATAAAATATATTGATATTTCCTACTAAATTTAGCATAAAAACAGCAAAAGATTGAAGTAAATTCCTCATTTTACACACAACCTATACATGTAATACTAAAAGAAGATGCATGTCAAATATTTAAATGGTTTTTAATCAATTAAAGTAGTTTATCTCTCCTCAGGAAAATCCTTAAATTCAATTTTGTGTTTCCTAGGCATATTTCAGGTGATGTTCTCCATCATTGCAATGGATTTCTTCAAGCTTGAAGCTCAGCAGAATGGCTACCTGATGGCGTATTTCGGTATCGTTCAAATGGTGAGATTAAAACACTCAGACCTGGGTAGTAACTAGTTACATGTACTTGAGTAACTTTTTGGATTAAATGTACCTTTAGGAGTATTTTTATTGCACTGAACTTTTCATGTTTGAGTAATTTTATTATGAAGTGTCACACTATTCTTGTTTGAGTAAAATTTCTGGATTTATTTTACCCACTAGCTGCTTTTCCATTATAAATGTCTCCAAAACTTTGTCAATTTCCCATTAATGTCAAAACCCCCCATAATTTTGCAATTGCAGTGTTTCCATTAAATAAGAAACACACGTGAATATGTTTTTTCACGCAACAAACCATTAAACATGCGGCTCCTTCAGCCTCCAGCCACTTCCTGTCTTCTCCTTTGTTTCCACCTGTAGTAGCATCCAGTTGACCATGTGATTTGTGTGATGCAAAAAAGTGTTTCCATTGTATTTTTGTTAAATACTCAAATTTTAATACAGCAAAAAACAAAAAACAAAAAAACCCCACAAAAACAACAGTACAAAAACTTAAAGAAAAAAAAAGTTTTTCAAAATTAGCACACTTCCATTAAGCAAATTTATTTTCATAAATTAGATTTGTGCAATTTCATAGTCAATGAAAATGCAGCTACGGTTGCCGTAATTAATGCAAATAAAGAAGATCATGCTTGGACATTAGTCCTTCAATCCTGAAAATGTTCTTCAGGTGGTAGAAGACCGACTTTGAAACTGTCTTTATGTATCAACATGCAGTATAACATTCCCACTGACACAGATTTGGCGTGTTTTTCCAGGTTGTTCAGGGAGGATTGATCGGTAGACTCACATCCAGATTCCCAGAGAAATCTCTTCTTCTTCTGTCCATTGGGATTACTGCAGGTGTGGGTCTGGCTCAGGTAAACATGAACTCTCTCAGGTTTCAGGGTGATGCCAGACGATGCATCAGGATCCTTTGAAATCTTTTTTTTTTAAATGTATTTGTGTTTCTTCTTTCCTTCCAGGCCTACATGCAGACAGTTTTCCACCTCTGCCTCACCGTCACTCCGTGGATGTTTTCTCTCAGCGTTTTTAATGTCATCACCGACAGCATGCTCACCAAAATTGTCCCATCCTCTGACACAGGTGACTTTATCCAGATTCTCCTGTTATGGTATCCATGGAAACACCAGACTCTCAGCTGGACGCTGATAACCAGCATTTGAGATGAGCAGGAAGCATTTGCAGGACACCAGGAACCTTCATCAAAAATACATGATATGGAGCTCTGGTAGTGCCAAGAAAAAATGTTGAAAATATGTTGTTTTTTAAATTTATTTATTTATGTTTAGGACAATGTGCCTAAATTTGTTGTAATTTTTACTTCATTTACATTGGATTTCCAAAAAATATACTGGAATTCAAGGCAAATATAAGCAATTTCTCATTTTATTATGAGATAAAAAAAAACCAGTTATTGTTTCATTATAATTTGATTAAAATGTTTTAAAAATATCAAAAACAAGTAATTTTCATTATGTAAAAATAAGTTTATTACAATCAGTAAGTAAAAATAACTACAATTCCCAGTTTTGGTGCCAATCTGTGAAAAAGGAAAAACCTCTGAAGATTTGCTTTAATTTACCTCAGGTGCATGAATATTTGCACAATTAATGTGTATCTATTGTTTCCAAAAGTTTGTGTCCTTATGATATTTTAAAAAGGTTTATATACTACATGTTAAATAATTCTGGTGACATTTATAGACTTCTGATGGACTCCACCAAATTTTAGCCTTATTTTGATACCAAGACTGAAATAAAGTTTGTAACTGCTGAGAAGAAAACTGAATTAGATTTGGGTGTGTGAATTTAGACACCCTTCAGAAAGCCCTGTGGGTTTTTTCAGGGATTCTGATTAACTTTCTGACTGTTGTGTTGTTTGGTCCCCAGGAACGATGCTGGGTCTGTGCGCCTCCGTTCAGTCGCTGGTCCGGACAATCGGACCAACCATCGGCGGTTTCCTGTACATGAACTACGGCCTCGCCTCCATAGGTCTAATTGAGTTTTTTGTGAATATTGTCGTGTTTGTTTACCTGCTATATCGACAACTCAGCAACACTGAGAGGCAGAAAGAATGAAGAGGCAATTTTATTTTTATATTCCATATTTTTATAGAACTAGAAAACATAAATGTTTAGTCGTCGTTTGCAACATGCTGCTTTAATTTTGCATTCCAGTTAGTCGAGATTTAAATTAATTACTGTGTTGTTCAGGTGGAAACCACTAGATGGCAGCAAAATGTTCAGAGATGTTTCTGTTGATCAGATTTTCATTTTCATTCCCAGCTTTTTTAAAGTCATGATTTTATGTATAAACAAAGCATTCACATTTTTTTACTTTTAGATTAGCAAAAAAGTTATATTTTCTTGTAATTTTTAAAAAAAATAATTATATTTTAATGCAGTATTGTACTTTACAATTATGACTTCACACTACAAGAAGTGATGTTTGTAGCATTTCTTGGTTGCTGTAAATGTAAGTTTAAGAAAAGCATTTTAAGCACTGGAGCAGTGTGGTTATTTTTGGATTTATGCATTGTAAAGATCAAGGATAGTTTTGATTATTTTAAAAGTTTCTGACTACTGTAAACTGTTTAAGCACAGCAAATTTACTTCTGATTGCCACTTATTAAGGCCTTAATAAGGCCACTTATTGAAAAAACAACATTCAGAGCAGTAAAATACATACATCTTGCATTTAAGATGTGCATTAACTAAAGAAAAGCTGTTATTGCATTTTAGTCAAAAACATTTTCTTATTAAAGAAAGTTTTTTTCCCATCTTTTAATGCATTTTTATAGTTGGATAAAAAAGGTATAAGTGGCTGAATGAAAAATCTGTAGAATATTTTTTCATCCAATTAATCAATTAATTGTCAGAATAATTGATCACTAAGATAATCGTTAGATGCAGCTTTACAAACAAGTTTGTTGTTGACCTGTTAGGTAATTTTTATTTTTAAAGTGTCTCACAATTTAACATTTTGTATGTTTAATTCAATCAAGTCCATATCCGACTAGAAAACATTTATTATTGTGAATTCCAGATTTTCTTTGAATGGGAATGATTTCATCACACAAGCATAATGAAAACATGATGCAGAAAAGCCATGTGGAGGAAAGTTAGACCAGGATCTTACTGCCACAAAGTAACAGAGCTAACAACCCCACCCCCATTAAAATTCCTAATTTCAAAAACAATACGCATTTAATCACTCTCTCTATTGTTTCCATTCATGTCTTTGCATTTTCAGCTGCATCCGGCTGCCAAGTCGCAGCTTGTTGAAGTGATGTCATAAAATCTGAAGCAGGTGCTTTCTTTGTCCGCCACAAAGTACTTTGTTTTTCAAATATTACATCCAACAACCCCAGATAAAACGATCATATTGTAACAGGAGGAGGTTAAACTCATTATCTTAGAGGCTTTTCTCTAAGCAGATGCAACTGGTGATTTCTGTGCCAATTTGTTTGACCAGCAGGAAGGGCAGCAGTTTTTGGCATCCAGATAATATGCTAGAGTTGCAGATTTTGTTTATTATGTCGTATAACATTCAGATATAATATAATCCTAACTATAAAAAACTAAAAAATATATTGCTGGTTTAATCAGTTTTCCTTTATGATCAAAGGAAACAAAGCTACTGTCAGACAGACTTAAAAGAGCTGTGAGCTGATTTGAAGGACGTCACCATCTGCGTTTCCATTACATATGTGCGCAAAACTTTGTCAATATTCCACTAATGTCAAAATAAACAACTTCATAATTGTTTTGCTTCCATTAAATAAGAAACAAGATTAAAATCACACAAGAATAAGTCTTTTCACGCGATAACTCGTTAAACATGTCATGCCATTATTCTCCAAACACTTCCTGTCGTCTTCTTTGTCATTTTCGCCAGCAGGAACAGCCGGTTGTTGATCATGTGATGCAAAAAGTGTTTCCATTACAGTTCAGTGAAACAAACCAATTTCAATACGGCCAAAAAACCTCAACCTAGCGCAAAAAATGTTTGATCAAGAAACCTAAGTTTTTCCACGTTGATGTGTTTCCATTTAGCAAATTTGTTTTTGTAAATTCAATTTCTGCAACTTATTGGTCAATAGCTGCATTTCCATTATAAATATCCTCACTGTCGCTGTAACCCCAGCAGTGGAGTGGGGGGGGGCTGACCGCGGTGGGGTGCCTTGTTACACTTGGCCCTTTGAGTCAGCGGGAACAGGAACAATGGTGCTGTTAACACTCCTGACGGGGACCTTTGGGTCCTCTGAAAGTTTAATGTGACTCTGCGAGCGACCTGCGCTCGCTGAGGTCAGAAATGAGCGCTGTCCATGTCGCTCTGTGGCTGCCTTGTGTCGGCTCACTGGAAACTAAACGCCAGTGGGGGGGTCCTCCAGAGCCGGGCCTGTTTTGTCCCCTGCGGCATGGATAATGAGGCATCTGTCTCCACCTGCCTCATAGCGAGATGAGGCTCACTGTCTGTCTTTAAAAGAGCACAGGTTATCTATCTGATTTGACCACGGCAGGCCAGGCATATGATCTGAAGCAGAGGAGCCTTGAGCCTGAATGTTTTATACCGTGGCTTTCTTATGGCTGTTTGCAGAGCTCCACACGGCGCAGGAACACTTCGCTCAGTGTCTCCTTAAGTGCATCCAGGAAATTAACAAACAGATCAATCAAACATGAGGAACTCAACTACTACACAGTGTTTCAGCCAATGTAAATTAAAGCTTCTGAAACAATCGATTATTGAAATAATCAACTAATTTAGTAATCGATTAATTGGCAAATGGTGTATAAACTGTGCAAAATATATATATATATATATATATATATATATATATATACAATTTGTTTGCAAGTTTGTTACATCAAGAATGCTTAACAAATCCTGGTTCACATTCTGTGGAAAAAAAATAAAAAACAGAAAATAAATCACCTTTTCCTATCCAATTATTAACCAGTTAATCCAAAAAATAATAGAGCAATTAGCCCTACATTGTATTGTACGATGGAGCAGTAGGGCCACGCTAAGAAACTCATAAAATTACAAGAATAAAGTCAAAATAAAATAAAGCATACATTTAAAATATTTTGAGAATAAAATAACAGAATGTAATATTACAACTTTATTCTCGCATTTCATTTATGTCAACTTTATTCTTGTACAACTTTACAATAATAATTTTACTATTTTTATTTTCTGAGCATGAAAGAAAGAACAGAGTTTTTCACATGTTGATGTTAGAAGCATTTTTTTAGCTACAGATGTATTCTTCGCTACAAATAAATCAATCACTAAAGGAATGCTATGTTCTTTGCTCTGTTGTAGCATTTTAGGCAATAAAATGTTTGATTTGTTATTTAAAAAGGAATTGAACTTGGTTTATTTGAATATTTTTAATGTATTTATAATAGTGTATAAAATCACTTAAATAATAAATCTGCAGCATTTGACCAATTTTTTAACCAATTGATTAACTGAAAGAATAATAAGAATAATTGATTACTAAAAGTCTTTCAGCTCTACTCTGCTGCAATGACACCCATTTGTATTTAATTTTCCCGTTTATTGGTTGAATTTTGCCACTAACAATAATCCAAACTGGGCGTGAAATCACCTCGACATCCCCAGCAGGTCGTCGTACGTCGTGGAGTTGGCCACAGGAGCGAAAGGCGATCTTCCAGGGGTTTTGTCTTGGTGTAATCGGACAGAGACATCATCTATCAAGAGAGGGGGAATTACTGCTGGTTAACAAAGGGAGATAAGATAATGAGTGGGCAGGCTGAGACCCAGTGAAGCACAGCTCGAGTTCCCATCCTGATTACATGGCAGCAACCAACTCCAAGGTGAAGAAAAGGAGAGGAAAAAGCTCAGTAAGCTTCAGGCGTTAGCTGCTAGCATCTTAAGTCAGTTTTTGATTTTTAATTTTGTAATGAGAAGAATAAATCAAGATTACCATCTCAGGTAAAAATGTCTAAAAATCTTTAAAGGTGATCAATGGTGTAAAATTCACTTTTTTCACATTTTTATACTTCAATTTGGGTCTCAACTTCACAAAATCTTTCTTACATAATGAGTCAGTTCTACCTACAATATTTAATCTCCCTTCAGAAAAAGCTGTTTTAGGGCATCTTGTCACTTTAAATTCAAATAAGCTTCTGCTGGCCACGCCCCCTAAACTCAACTCAACTTATACACTCGCATGTAAAAATGCATGCAAACCGATGAGCAACTATACAGCTATACATGTTTGAAAAGCGTTAATAGAGCCTCCTGCTCAACAAGAATGCAGTAAGTGGCTCCTGGATGGTAAGTCAACAACAAAACACTTGTCTTTTCCGGCTGCCATTGTAAAGTGCAAAACCAGCCAACTAAAAGTGCTGGAATTCTGCTGGAGTTGCTAGGTAACGGACAGAACTCTGCTGAGGTTGCTAGGTAACGGCACTTGTGACTTAACAATTGGGAGGTTTTTGAAACGGCTTCTTTTCCAGACACTAAAAAACATGACCTTATTGCTAAAAAAGTGATGGGTAGTTTTGTTTTTATGCCCTGGGGTGTTTATAGAAGCAGTAGAGACCCAAATGGAAGGACAAAAACATGAATTTTACATACCAGGTCTTGGCTAGGCTTTTACTACATAAACATTTAGAAGCTTATTTTTTCTCAAAAATTCAAGCAAAATCCACAAAAACACTTCAGAAAGCCTGAAAAAATCTCAGTCAGAAAAAGTAAGATTCAAAATTAAGGAATTATGAATGGATTAAACGTTTTATTCAAACCACAACCCAAATGTGAGCCTCACGTGTGGAAACTCCTCAGACACTGTGCTGACCTGCGTCATAGGAGATGTGCTGCCCTCTTCCCTGTGTGGAGCGCGTTCAGTCCTGTGACAGCGGCTCTGAGCCCCACGAGGCTCGGTCTGACCGGCACGCTCAGCCCTCACTCTCACTCCCTGACATGTGCCAGAGCTCACTAATCCTTCACTGACGCCGCGCTGCAGCATCACACTGGACAACAGGACAGTAAATGACCACCAAGCTGACCTCAGAGGGATGCCGGTCCTCACCGGATCAGACAGGCTCGTTCCCTCTGGAGGCCATGTTTGTTTACTACAACAAGGCTTCCCAAACTTTTCCATGCCTTCTCCCTCTAAAGAGCATTTAACCCCTTAGCAAACCTACAGACAATGCTACAAAATATGTAAACAAACATCTATGCCTGTTATAATAACAAATATTGATGGACGATAAATTGTCCCAGAAGTTATTGCCTTAAACAATAATATTAGTGTTGTTTTGAGACCATTTTCAGATAATATATGGCATAGTAATGAAAGAACACAAACTCAAAGATCAATAAACTTAAAATTCTAGTGAACATTTAACACTGGAACTGGAAGACATTTTAAATATCCAAAATAATCAAAAGAAGAAAAACAAATAAAATGAATTTTGAAGTTTCTGTCATCAACAAAGGAGTGCCTAAAAAAGCACAAGACTTTAGAGAAAAGAGAGAAACGATCCATCCATCCATCCATTAGGTAAGACCAACTATTTCTAGCTGGAACCTCTGAACCTCACACACTTGCTCAAGTTCCTTCCCCACCAGAGAGTTGGCACTCCACGTTCAAGGAGCCAACTTCTGTAGCCGAGGATCGGATCGCCAAGGTCCCCGCCCTCGACCACCACCCGCCCCACCCTTTGTGCCCCTCCCACAGGTGGTGAGCCCATGGGAAGGTTGATCCACTTCTCCTCTTCATCCGAGCCCAGCCACCAGGCGCTTGCCAACGTTCCCCACCTCCAGGCCTGGCTACAGACTTGGGCCCCGGTGGCCCGCGTCCGGGCATGGGAACACTACTTCCAGCTGTGTGGTTCATCATAAGGGGTCTTCGGGCTGCACTTTGTCTGGTTCCTCACCCAGGTCCTGTCTGCCTTGGGTGACCCTACCAGGGGCATGAAGCCCCAGACAGCATAGCTCCTACGTTCACAGGATGCTCAAACCCCTCCACCACGATAAGGTGGGAGTCTATGAAGAGAAACAATAAATCATACAAATGGAAATAATTTTATTCTTTTTATCTTTAATTGATTTATTGCTTATTGTGGCAGGCCTACAAACATAAACGTTTAGAATGTTTTTTATTCACTTCAACAATTACATTCATTTAGTAAAACTTTTACATTTGTTGCTTGCTTGACAAACAAAGCAGCTTGATAAATTTGACAGGCATCCAATCAGAAGATGAGCATCAGAGATAACAAATAAATTATTTTAAGATATATTTCATTTATAAATTATTTTAAAAAGATTGAATAAAAGTAAACAAAAATTAAACATAACAAAATCTACAGGATTATTATTATTATTGGGGGGGGTTTTTTTTGCATATTTTTTCTCACCTTGCTACAACTTTCTGAGACCCTCACAGTGCCCCCTAGAGGCCTCACTTTGAAAAACACTGGACTTTACCACAGAGTGGATAGAGCGTTAGCCAACTGTCTTATGGAACATCATGGAGCATCGGTCAGGTTTCTTTATGATTTTAATGCTGCTGCAGGATGATGACAGTTGGAGATTTGGCTATTTGAAGATAATATTAAAAACGAGGAGGTGGCTATTGCTTTAATTACAGCTGAGCTGATTAGACAACAATGCATTAGTTAAAGGCGGGAAAAAGCATCTGTTTGAACTGAGCCGTAAGCTCCGCATTTTGTTTGCATTACTCATACAGAACAGCATCTGTGTCATTCAGAGATAAATCTGACCATCATTGGTCAGATTACAGAGAACATCATAATCATTACAGTCACTAAATTTAACTTGAGTTGCGTTGCAGGATTTGGGTCAAGCATCTGGAGGGTCCAGTTTGAGTCTAATATCAAACTGGATCAAACAATGATGTGGCAAAACTTGGATACATTTAGTGAAATTCACAAATATGTAACCTAGGTTCATCACCTTAGTGAAGTTGCCCCCCCCACCTTCTTCAAATGTAACAAAATTGGTGACAAACGTTTTACTGATTTCTGCAGCAAAAAAATAACTTTGTGCCGCTACCATTTTGAAGACAATAAAAGTTTCCAGAGGTCATCAGAGGTCAACCACCCCCAGTCCCCTTTCACATTTACAATTATTTTCAAAAGCAGTATTTGTGTTTGTAGGGCTACAATTGATTTGTTGTGCAATCACAGACATACCCAAATTTAAATAAAAGAAAGTAGTAAATCATTATCATTACTCATATTCTTACCTTGTTCTATTCCTAACCTGTCTGGACTGTTGGATGTATTTTTCATTCAGTTAATCATCATCCAGACTTTCCCAAAGTCTGATATCCTTCTCTTAAACACACCTTGAAGCTGGATGGATACGTCTGCTGAAGGTGAAAGCTGATTGGCTGCAGCCTCTCTGCTCTGACACATGATTTAAGGATCAGACTTCGACCCCCGCTTCTATTTCAGGAAGTGAAACTCACACAGTCACTGTGACTGAGAGCAGAAATGGAGCAGAATCAGCTGGACCGAGAAACTTTCTCCTGTTTGATCTGTCTGGATCTACTGAAGGATCCAGTCACTACTTCCTGTGGACACAGCTACTGCATGAACTGTATTAAAAATCACTGGGATGAAGAGGATCAGAAGAGGATCCACAGCTGCCCTCAGTGCAGGGAGACATTCATACCGAGGCCTGTGCTAAAGAAGAACACCATGCTAGCAGCTTTAGTGGAGCAGCTGAAGAAGACTGGACTCCAAGCTGCTCCTGCTGACCACTGTTATGCTGGACATGAAGATGTGGCCTGTGATTTCTGCACTGGAAGAAAACTGAAAGCAATCAAGTCCTGTTTAGTGTGTCTGGCCTCTTACTGTGAGAAACACCTTCAGCCTCATTATGATTCAGCTGCTTTTAAGAAACACAAGCTGGTGGAGCCGTCCAAGAACCTCCAGGAGAAAATCTGCTCTAAGCATGATAAGTTGTTGGAGATCTTCTGCCGCACTGATCAGAAGTGCATCTGTTATCTCTGCACCATGGATGAACATAAAGGCCACATCACAGTCTCAGCTGCAACAGAAGAGACTGAGAGGCAGACAGAGCTGGAGGAGAGACGAGGAAACATCCAGCAGAGAATCCAGGACAGAGAGGAAGATGTGAAGTTGCTTCAACAGGAGGTGGAGGCCATCAATCTCTCTGCTGATAAAACAGTGGAGGACAGTGAGAAGATCTTCACCCAGCTGATCCATTTCCTCCAGAAAAGAAGCTCTGATGTGAAGCAGCAGATCAGATCCCAGCAGGAAACTGAAGTGAGTCGAGTCAAAGATGTTCAGGAGAAGCTGGAGCAGGAGATCACTGAGCTGAAGAGGAAAGACGCTGAGCTGGAGCAGCTCTCACACACAGAGGATCACAGCCAGTTTCTTCTCAACTCCCCCCGACTGCCAACACTCAGAGAGATTGCCATGTCCTCCAGCTTAGAGAACCTTCATCCGTACTTTGAGGACATTACAGCTACACACTCATCCAGCATCAACATCCGTCCTCTGAGACACTTTGAAGACGTGACAGCAGCTGTGTCAGAGCTCAGAGATAAACTACAGGACGTCCTCAGAGACTCATGGACAAACATCTCACTGAGACTCACTGACGTGGATGTTCTACTGCCAGAACCAGAACCAAAGAGCAGAGCTGGATTCTTAAAATATTCATGTGAAATCACTCTGGATCCAAACACAGCAAACACACGACTGGTATTATCAGAGGGGAACAGGAAGGTGAAACTGATGAATCGACGTCAGTCTTATCCTAGACATCCAGACAGATTCACTGGATGTTGGCAGGTTCTGAGTAGAGAGAGTCTGACTGGACGTTGTTACTGGGAGGTGGAGAGGAGCGGGACACAGGTTTATGTAGCAGTGACATACAAGAATATCAGTCGAGCAGGAGGTGGAAATAAATGTTTATTTGGATGTAATGACAAATCTTGGGCATTAGATTGTTCTCAAAACAGTTTTAGATTTTGTCACAACAACATCTGAGTTTTGTAAACCCAACTAGATTTTCCCTCTAATTGTTGATCAGGGTCCATCCCTGCTCTTTTTCTGGTTTAAATGTAGATCTCTGTTTTCCAGGAGCCATAAAAGAAATAACTACTGATATTTTCTTTCATTATTTTATTACATAGCAACATTTCTCCATAAGAAAATCTTAACTCTCTTGTGCTCTAATAGTTGTGCTTTAAATATTTGCATTGGTATATATGGATGTTCACTGCAAAAACACTAAATCTTACCAAGTATTGTTGGTCCTTTAAGCAAGATATAGGAGCTTGTTTTTGGTCAATAATTCCTTAATATTGTTGGGAAAAGCACTAGTTACTCTTGTTTAAATCATTTGGGATTGAAGTGAACTGAACTTGATTCTGTTTTCTTTATTGTGACACAGAGAAGAAAAGTTAAACCAACATCAACTCAGAACTGATGTGTTTTTATTCTCAATTCTTTGGATTTAGATCACAAAACTAAACTGTTCTGCTTCTTTGACTTTATTCAATAAAACAACTTGATTACAGAGAAATTTGGAATATGTTCTCTTCATTGTTACAATAAATTGTGAGTTTCATCATCAAAACTGCAGAAATATTTCCTTCAGAAGGTCTTATATGTGGAGAAAATCAGATGCATGTCTAATATGTATGACTGGAGTAACAACCTGACCTGAGTTAAAATGGAATACATTTAGTCCCTCATAACTACAAACTGTCCATATTGTTGGGGTTGATAGTTTTAATATTTTCTCTTGTTTGTTTCACTAAAGTATCAATAATTATCAATAAAGTTAAAAATATAATAAAATGCAGTTAGTGTACGCAGCTTAGTGATACAAACAACACTTAGATGATTGGTGTCCTAAAGAAGTGTGTTACAAATTTTTTCAAGAGCAGTATTTGTGTTTGTAGGGCTGACTGCTGTGTGGTGCAATCACAGCCATACAAAGTTATATAAAAAGAACTAATAAATTGCTCTTATCACTTATAAGAACAATTCCTATCTTGCTAAACCCAACCTACCTGGGCTGTTGGATGTATTTTAATTTGGTTAATCATCATCCAGACTTTCCCTAAGACTCATATCCTTCTCTTAAACATGCCTTGAAGCTGGATGAATCCAACAGCAGCTGATGGTGAAAGCTGATTGGCTGCACCCTCTCTGCTCTGACACGTGATTTACAGATAAAAGGTCAAACCGGTTTATGTTTTCAGTAAATGAAACTAACATTCACTGTGACTGAGAGCAGAAATGGAGCAGAATCAGCTGGACCGAGAAACTTTTTCCTGTTTGATCTGTCTGGATCTACTGAAGGATCCAGTCACTACTTCCTGTGGACACAGCTACTGCATGAACTGTATTGAAACCCACTGGGATGGAGAGAGTTGGATCCACTGGAATGGAGAGAATTGGATGAGAATATACAGCTGCCCTCAATGCAGGCAGAGGTTCATACCGAGGCCTGTGCTAAAGAAGAACATCATGCTAGCAGCTTTACTGGAGCAGCTGAAGATGACTTGGCTCCAAGCTGCTCCTGGTGACCACTGCTATGCTGGACATAAAGATGTGGCCTGTGATGTCTGCACTGGAAGAAAACTGAAAGCCATCAAGTCCTGTTTATTCTGTCTGGCCTCTTTCTGTGAGAAACACCTTCAGCCTCATCATGATTCAGCTACATTTAAGAAACACAAGCTGGTGGAGCCGTCCAAGAACCTCCAGGAGAACATCTGCTCTAAGCATGATGAAGTGATGATAATGTTCTGCTTCAATAATCGGAAGTATATCTGTCTCACCTGTTTCATGGATGAACATAAAGGCCACATCACAGTCTCAGCTGCAACAGAAGAGACTGAGAGGCAGACAGAGCTGGAGGAGAGACGAGGAAACATCCAGCAGAGAATCCAGGACAGAGAGGAAGATGTGAAGTTGCTTCAACAGGAGGTGGAGGCCATTAATCTCTCTGCTGATAAAACAGTGGAGGACAGTGAGAAGATCTTCACTGAGCTGATCCGTCTCCTCCAGAAAAGAAGCTCTGAGGTGAAGCAGCAGATCAGATCCCAGCAGGAAACTGAAGTGAGTCGAATCAAAGATGTTCAGGAGAAGCTGGAGCAGGAGATCACTGAGCTGAAGAGGAAAGACGCTGAGCTGGAGCAGCTCTCACACACAGAGGATCACAACCAGTTTCTCCTCAACTGCCCGTCATTGTTACTCAGTGAGTCCAGCATCAACATCCGTCCTCTGAGACACTTTGAGGACGTGACAGCAGCTGTGTCAGAGCTCAGAGAGAAACTACAGGACGTCCTGAGAGACTCATGGACAAACATCTCTACTGTTCTATTGTCAGAACCAGAACCAAAGAGCAGAGATGGATTTTTAAAATATTCATGTTAAATCACACTGGATCCAAACACAGCAAACACAGAGCTGGGACTATCAGGGGGGAACAGGAAGGTGACACTGATGGATCAACGTCAGTCCTATTCTAGCCATCCAGACAGATTCACTGGATGTTGGCAGGTTCTGAGTAAAGAGAGTCTGACTGGACGTTGTTACTGGGAAATGGAGAGGAGCGGGTTTCAGGGTCGTATAGCAGTCACATACAAGAATATCAGTCGAGCAGGTTGGAGGAATGAATGTGGACTTGGATTTAATGACAAATCTTGGGCATTATTTTGTTCCCAAAACTGTTTTGGTTTTGGTCACAACAACATCTGGACCCCCATCTCAGGTCCAGTTTCCTCCAGAGTCGGAGTGTACCTGGACCACAGAGCAGGTATTCTGTCCTTCTACAGCGTCTCTGAAACCAGGACTCTCCTCCAAAGAGTCCAGACCAGATTCACTGAACCGCTACTGGCTGGAGTTTGGGTTGGGTGGACTGGAGGTTCTGCAGAGTTCTGTAAAACCAGCTAGATTTTCACTCTGATTGTTGATCAAGATTCACAGTTCTGATGTTTCTCTGCTCTGCTGTTCTTTGTTTTTATGGTTTAAATGTAGTTCTCTGTGTTCCAGGAGTCATAAAGGAAATCATTGGTGATTTTTTTCTTTCATTATTGTATGACATGGAAATATTTCTCCAAATAAAAATCTGACTTCTTCATATAATTGGTGTCTTAAAGAAGCGTGTTACAATTGTTTTCAAGAGAAGTATTTGTGTTTGTGGCACTATAATTTCTGTACCTTCCTATCAATGTAGGTGAAAGGTCATGTCCAAGTAGATTAGCAGTTATGAGATGTTGTAAAACTGGTGTATCAGTTTATAACCTAACTGTACTTTAAGTGTTTTTCGAACTTGATTTCTGGTGTATTTATGTTTGTTCCCAAATGAACCTCTTATCTCTATATATTTTTACCGTACGAGTCATAAAAAAGCCTTAAAGATAAAAGTTTTCTTTCGTCAGTGTCCTTTGATAAGAAACAGGCCTGTTCTCCACACGTCTCTGATATTTACTCAGGCGATTGATTCCCTCACTCTGATTATCACAGCTTTTGGGTGGCAGATGGTGGGGTTGCTGGTAATCCCAGCTGCCCACTGGACTGACCCTTTGAACTCCTGCCCATCTAACACACCACACCCCCTCCCCAAAATCTTAACGAGCTAGCTAAGCTGCACGGCCAAAGAGCTGCTTTAAACTGGTGAGTAATGGCTGTGTCAGCAGTCAGAAGATGAGCCCCATGGTGGAGGAGGGTAAACAGCGGGGGGTATTGCAGCCCAGCTACAGCTAAACGATTGTTTCATTGTTAATGAAAAGATACAGTAAACATCGTGGAAAATGTTACTTTTTAGTCCTACCAACCGTAAGCTAGCATAAGTTGCTTATCAACAAGAATAGCTCTCTTTAAGGTAATCTTGCATAGGTTTATCGCAACAAGCAATAAATCAATCGCATGATAACCTAAAACAAGTTCAATAATTTCTATTTGCATAATTTATTGTTTTTCTCTTTTCCTCTTTCTACCAAAAACTGGATGATAAAAGTCTTTAGTCTGAGCTTTTGGTTTCAACAAGCCTGTTGTTTAGTTTATTTATTTTGGATATTTAAAATGTCTTCCAGTTCCAGTGTAAAAGGTTAATTAGAATTCAGAGTTTGTTTATATTTGAGAATGTGTTACTGCTTTATTATACCATTACCATTATATTTGTTGAAAACATCGATATTAGTGTTTGTTGCAATAACAATTTATCGTCCGGCAATAATTGTTAACATGACAATTATTTGGGCCCAAATACAAAACTAAGGTCTTTTTAATGATTTAGAGGTAAATTTAATTAGTGATGTTTTTAATCATTTTATGACAGATTTAATTAATTAGTGGAAGATTTACACATATTTTCATTTATTCAATTTTGTCATCCCTTACCTTCCATACATTTGGTGTTTTACGGTTAATGGAAACACTAAGAGGTGACTTGAGATATTCCCCAGAAAACAAATTCAAACACTTACAGTTATTAGGATATTTACAGCAGTTAACAGTCAGTAAAATCACTGGTGGGACTGTTTGTGTTGTCCTTGAACTCTTGTTTATTTAACTCAACCAAGAATATCTGCAAATCTCTGTCACGGTTATTACGGTTATTCTGTTGGTTGGAGGCGGAACGTATTGGGGCCCACTGGATTACAGCTTTAAATAACAGACCATTCAGAAAGTAACATTATGTCCATTCATGCAGATGCTTAGATTATGGTTTAGTTTATAAAAATAAAACAATAGTAATTTCAGTTACCTCATTTGCTGTAATCTTCTTGCTTCATCTGTGTTTCTACAGGGGGTTTAATCTCATCTAAAGTCATCTGACCTAATCCCCAGCAGCAGTAGCAACAACAGCGGTGGCGGTCGAGCCAAATTAGTTCTTTGACTGATAGCCATCTGCCAGACACATCAATTAATTAGTTCATATTTACTTGAAAGGAAATCTAGACAGGTGAGGAGGAGCTGAGAAGTTATTGGCTTGCTGTTGGTCAGTTATTGGAAAGTGAATACAAAACTTCACTTTTAATCCAGATATTTCTACTGATGTAAGGCTTCAGATATGGGGCCAGTAGAAATTATAGACTGCATGTTGGATGGAAAAATGCACTTATCAAACGAATTAACTTGTGGAATGAATCAACACAAAAGAACAATCAATTTATCTCAAGAAAAACATAAATGTTTACAATGGAAATTCAGTTTGATCTGAAAAAAGGAGATTTGAATCCAGCCTTTTCTGAATTAAGGCTGGCTAGATTTGATATTGGTATATAAAATCACGATGACAGAAAATTCCCACAAGGAAGAACAAGATGTAAGTAAACCCAGAAATGCACCATCTTGATAGACTACCAGTAAATAGCATTACATAACATTTTTTACAGGCTTTTCCTGCTCTTTTGGAGAACCAGTTGAGTATGGCAACATATAAGGGCCACTGTAGATAGACTATATATGTATATTTCCACCAGAAAAAAACTCAGAAATATGAGATTAATCTCAGAAATATTCTAGAATAAAAATGTTGACATTTCTGAGTTTCCTAAGTTAAAAATTTGCTGGAGAACCCAAAGCTTGAGATTAATCCCAGAGGTTTTCTAGAAAAAAAGAAATTTCCAAGCTTCAAAAGTTTATTTTTTCTTTTTTACTTTTCAAACTTAAAAATGTCCAAGTATTTGTTTTAGAAATTTCTCAGATTAAGCTCAAAATTTCTGAGTTTTTTGTAGTTCAGCAAAGTCTAGCAATAAGTTATCTTGTGAAAAGAGTCAACATTTGTGTTTTCTGAGAGAAATAGTTACGTTTCATACTCAGTGTAAATGAATCTGTCAAATCTATAAAAACATTTTTACAACCATTTGTTCAACACGCTATTGACTTGCAGTTTATTTTTAGAAACTTTTGAAAATGTCCTTACCGCTAACAGCTAACAGCATACGTTTCCTTTGGATATTAACCTGTCACGCTTGCCGTCGCTCGATGTGCGATGTTACGTTTCAAAATTTGCTCACCTTCACGGGATGTAATGAAAACGTATGTTTACTGTTTAATCGATTTTCTTTTTACACCTATGAATCCAACAATATCCAACAATCGCAGTTCTCTTACCTGCGACCAAGGAAGTGGAATGCTGCTGCCGTACAACCAAGATGGCGACCCGGAGTACCAGGATGTAGGGCTCTGACGTCATGCGGAAACAAAAAGGCATATTAGGAGGTACATACCAATACGATAGCACATTAGGGCCATTGCAGATTCGCCAAAAAACTCAGACATTTTCATATTACTCTGAAACATTTTCTGTTTAAAATATCTAGGAAATTTCTGAGTTTCAAATATTGAAAGCTTCAACATTTGAAAGTCAGAAATGTTTTTTTCTAGAAAATGTTTTAGATAAATCTTAACGTTTTTGAGTTTTTTACTTTTGGAGCTCAAAATTGTCCTTTTTGTTTACGACAATTTCTGAAATTAATCTCGAAATTTATCTGATTTTTGGTGGAAATTTACTCATTTTTGTATCTACAATGGTCCTAATACCCTATTGTATGGTTCTCTTACCTGCGATCAATGAAACTGAAAGCTGCAAGATGGCGACAGAGTGCGGTAGTGTGACGTCATGCAGAAACCTTTTGTTTTTTTCAACAATTAATGTTTAGAAACACATTTAAGACTCATATTTAAGATTCCTGGAATCTTCTTTATTAATTCATTTGTGTGAATGTATTATGGACTGACAACTTGTTTATGGTGTACTCTTATTTTTACCCATAACTGCTGGATGTAGTTATTGTCCTGGTCTCATTTTTGTTATAAGATGTTCTGTTTGTGTTAGATTGCATTTCTTCAACTTAAAGCTTGTTAGAAAAATTATGTTAACCTTTTGTATATTCTTTTTTTCGGGTTAAAATAATGTGTTTTCAGTATGTTTATTAGTAAGTATTATACTACATTAAAGATTCAGTGTGTGCATATGTGATGTGTAACAAATACCCAGAACCTGTAATCCTACTCTTTGACAATAGCTGACATTGAAAAGGATTATCCAAATCTCTTTAAGTTGATTCTCAGCAGAGGTGTGTTGTGGGCTGAGAAATATGTTTCTACCCCCCAAAATTTGGAGATTAATCTCAGAAATTTTCTTAAAAAATACATGAAAATTTATGAGATTGAAAAGTCAAAAACCTTCGCATTTTGGAAATTTCCAAGCTTTTAATAAAACTTGGAAATTTTTATTACATTTTTTCAGAATTTGAGATTAATTCTGAGATTAATCTCAAAATTTCAGATTTTTTTTCTAGAAAATGCTTGACTTTTGGAGCTCAGAATTTCCTTGTTTTTTCTAGAAAATCTCTGAGATCAATCTAAACAATTTCTGAACTTTTTGATGGAAATTTATTCCTTTTTTCCATCTATGCCTTCATGTGTAAGTAAGAAGAACTGTCTAGATTCAAATATTTACAGATGTTTTTTCCTGGAAGGGCGAATTAAAAAATTACAATGTGCAAAATTAGGTCAGTTATGTTATCTTATTAAATATTTTTGCTATGAAAAAATATATACATGTCCTTTCTATAGCAAACAACCAACAGAGTTGCAAATATTTTTTTCGTAACTCATTTTTTTTATTGTTAAAGTTGTGAAGGGCAATCATGTATATATATATATATATATATATATATATATATATATATATATATATATATATATATATATATATATATATATATATATATATATATCGTCTTTTTTTCTTCTTCTAAATTCTGGGCTTTTGTAAATTTTTGAAGTTTATAAATTTTTTGTCCAGGTTGCAGCAAATCTAAAATTTGTAATCCAGATGATCCACCAGATTTAACATTTGAAAAAGGTCTTTTTCCTAGTAATTTATCTTCACTGAAGCAGACATAAGTCCCTCACTTTAATAAAAGTGTATTGTTTGAATTCAAGCTGCTCTAATTAAAGCCAAAACAACAATAAGCACCCTGAACAAACCATTAGCAGCAGCAGCAGTTGGCTGCTAATGGTTTGTGGATCTCCTAAACAAACTGTAAGGCCCTGAGCTGCATCAAGAGGCTGAGCTGAGCTCCAATCTGACATTTATCTCTTCGGGCTGTTCTGCTGATGGCAGCACGACGTCGCTTTAGGAAGCAGCTGTTTACTGTCAGAGATCTAGGTCAGGACAGACAGAAAGACATGGATGTACAGAGAGCCAGTCTATACTAACATTGTGTTCACATGAATGAAACTCTTTCCAACTATTTTTGTCTGGTTTCTAGTGCACTTAGTACACTTGAAATAAGACAAAACTAACTTAAGGCGCTTTCGCACTGCACGGAACGGAACGGTTCCAGCCCTGTTGTGTTCGCTTTACACTGAGGGCGCCATCGAAGCTGTGCCGGACGTCATTATTTTTAAAACTATAGTAGCGAGAGCCAGCTGTCAACGGAAAATCAACGTCTGACTCCATGACAACCAGTGGCCAATCAGCTGCTGGTTCTAAGCAGAACCGCTTGGCCGGCACGCTTGGAACCACAGCTCTTGTGGTTCCATGGGGCCGGGTGGAACCGGTTGCAAATTGTAATGCGAACACGCTCGGAACCGTTCCGTACCGTTCCGTGCAGTGCGAAAGCGCCTTTAGAGTCAATAAGTTGAAAAAATTCTAGTTCCATTGGTTCCATTCCATCTGAAACACTACCATCCGTCCTCATTCAAACCCAAATTACCAAAACCTCAAAACTTTGTAAAGAACATATATTTGTCTCTTATGGCATCAAGAATGCACATTCTTTTTCTGGTGACCTTCCTTTGGTTGCTTCAGAAACATCCTGTAAAGCTATTGCTGCATTGGTCACCCAATCGCCATGTTATGTTTATGTTCTTTTAAAGGTGACCTATTATGCTTCATTGAATAAGTTGTTCAATACATTTTTTTAAGAAAATCATTCTTATAGATGAAGAGATTTCATTCTGTTTTTGGGCATCTTGTCCCTTTTAATCTAAATAAAATGCTGCTGGCCACGCCCCCCAGTTTTGGCTGGTGTGACATTATTTTCCAGAGGTTTTTGAAACAGCTCATTTTCCAGACACCAAAAAATATGAGTTTATTGCCAAAAACTGTCTGGGTGTTTTTTTTTTATTTTTTTATCTTTTGGTATGTTTTCAGAAGCAGTTGAGACCCAAGTGGAAGTACAAAAAACATGCAAATGTGAATTTGCATAATAGTTCCCCATTAAAATTTATGCTATATACTTGAAGCATAGAAACAAAAGATTTATTCACATATTATTCTACTGTGCACTTTCATAGATGGTGATGATGATGGCGAGGATAAAGAGCTGCTGCCAGATCTTTCCACCTGACGCACAGGTAAGAGGCTCAGCAGCCACAGTCAGATCCCAAAGGCAGCTTTATCACACTGTTATATAACACTCACACTGATGTGAGGCTGATGTGAGGATGCAGCCACACTGCCGTCGTCAGCACTGGCCAGATCAGATTTAACCTCCCCTTCAAGCCCTCCCCTCACTCCTTCTTGAGTTTCCTTCATGATCCATGGTGATAATCCTCTGTATGTGTGTGTGTGTTATCCTCTTTCATATGAGGCCAGTGAGGTTACAGAGTGTGAGGAGGGTAATGTAATGTGTAAACAATAGATGTGAAAACAGGAGGTATGAGTGTTCTTTCATAGCTGTGCAGTCAAACAGAAACATCAAGCACTTAAACAAACAAAAAAACAAACACCCAGCCATTATCTGGCAATAAGTTAGTGATTTTTGGTGTCTGGAAAATGAGCCGTTTCGAAAACTTTTGGAATGTGACATCACATTCCACTGGCGGTTTGCTGTCACCTAGCAACTCAAGGAAAGCCTGACACGTTACCTATAACCCCTGGGAAGTTCCAGCACGTTTGGTCAGCTATTTTTATCACTGTAAGGAAAAGACAAGTGTTTTGTTGTTGACTTACTATTGGTTGTGTAGGAAGTTCCACTTTTGCTTTTCAAAGAGGCACGTTTGTATAATTGCATCTGTTTGTAGCCGTTTTCATTGTGCAAATGTAAACATTGAGTTGGGGGTGTGGCTATTTACTGTAACAAATTTGGCCTTGATATATTAGGTACCTATGCCACAAAATGGGGAATTACATTTATTGACAATTACGTCAACACCTTTTTTAATTCTCAGTCTCAGGACTGAAAACTTTTGGAATGTGACATCACAATCCACTGGCAAACCGCCAGTGGAATGTGATGTCACATTCCGTGACATCACATTCCACTGGCGGTTTGCCAGTGGAATGTGAAAAAAACTATCACATTGTCATACAGAACTTTGTTAAAAGCAGTAGCTCTTTTAATTCTCAGTCTCAGGACTGAGAATTAAAAGAGGTGTTGACGTAAATTAAGTGACTTTTGCAGATGTGAAGCATAATCATAAAACATAATTCAAACCAGTTAGGAGAATTATATTCAAATCTTATAAGGTCAACTGGTTTAATCAATCTGCATCCCAATGCTGATGTGTATAGAAGGTAAAGGTGTAGCTGTTTCATAAACTCTTATAGTTCTGGGTTTTCCTGTAAAGAGAAGAAAAATATGCCAGCATCCTTTACTTTATATTTCTTAAAAAGGTGGTTAGTCAAAAAACCTTCAGGTTGTCCTGTTGACATCATCCATGCATGTGTCTTTAAAGAGGTTTCTGCTTTGACTGGAACATTAGTTTTTGCTGTAGTACCTCCAGTGACGGTTTTAGACATGCAACTGTAAATTGGTAATTGGTAATTATCTCTCCCTTTGCACAAATTTAAAACCAGTCTGTTCAAAAATGTTAAAGGAAATTGTTTGTATCCAAATGAATGATGTTTTTATTTTGAGGGGCCCTTCTTTCCTGTGGGGTTCCTCAGGGCTCAGTTCTTGGTCCTCTTCTTCTTTTTCCTCTTTCTGTGTTTGGTGTCCAATCCAGAAAACATTCCACTGCTATTCAAAGAAAAGCCTCTTTTGTTGCTTTACTGAAATAATAATAATAAAAAAAGGTTATTTTAGTCATACTTAACTTTGGTTGCCTTTAGTCCAACATCCAACAGCATGTGACAAACATGGGAGTGACGTGGATTCAGATTATAAACTGAACAAACAAATCAGCTCAGTTTTGCAGAAAAGTTTCTTCCAGTTAAGGCAAACAGCAAGATTTTGAAGATGTCTGGGATTTTAGTTTAGTTGGTTCCTTTTATGTTTTAGCTTGATTTTGAAACCGTTTGGTTCTCTATTTTTGGTTTTACTAAAGATCTTCTCAATTCATTCAACAAGTTTGGTTATGTCTTGATTTTCCGGTTGCTGTTGGACATCTCTCTTAACCATCAGATTGGAAAGTAGATTTACCTGGAAATAACATATTGTCTCACTATATGGCTGGCTTAAAATGAATTAGGTAGATTCTAGAATACATAAAACACCAAGCAAAGGGTTTTATCAGAGTTGTAGAAACGGACGGAGATGCGTACGGTGTCTCTGAACCTGTGCTGAACGTCTCATCAGTGATTCATTAACGTGGTTACATAACATGCATCTTCTAATCATTCTTTGAATCCTAATATTAGACTGCTCCCATGCTAATCTATTTGTCTTGGCATAATCTATGGCCTGCACATGTAAGCAAGTCTTCACCTAAAACTTGATGGTGTCACTGTGTACTGCAGCTGATAATTATTATGTACACAGTTAGTATTGACTCTGCTTCCAGGCTGCAGTCGGTCACACAGTCTTCTTCTCAATTCAGAGTCCAGATCTGACTCAAGTTGCAATGATGGCATGACGGCATTACTTTAATATACTACAGACAGCATAAAGTATGGTAAACCTGGTGCACACTGGAATTTTTGATTTGAAGAAAATCTTCCCAGGTGACAAAGTTTTAGTATGTCACACATTTCAGACATTCCCTTGCCAGAAGTCTTAAATATGTGGCTCCACAATAGAAGAATAAGTGATTTACAACAAATTGGACTGAGAGACTGAAATTGGACAAATTGGACTAAACCAAGAGTATTAGTTTCTTTTTCAAAACACAAAAGTAGAAATCAACTGTGTAAATAATTTCAAAGATGAAGTAAAAACAAACAGTAACACATAAATTCACCCATCCCATCAATTCAATATATTTCAATATCTATTATAATTTTTTAAAGATTGTTTTTAAACTTTACATGATCATTAATTAATGTAAGTGCAGAAAGCAGCATGTTCCAGTATTTTTTAGAGTGTTGGTTATAGGCAAAAGTAGTATGAAAGTAACAATAAAGCACTTGACCAAAAGCACAATGGAACAGTATGCAAGTTAAGAACTAAAGACTATAGGACTAATTTTCTTATTTCCAGATACATAAAATGAGCAACACACCAAATTATAGCTGTGTTTCTGATCATTTCATGATGAGATTACAATTCATTCTAGCATATGACCTCAGTTCTTAAATGAAGTCCTATTAAAATAATTTTAAGAAATTATAATTAATATTTTTGACAACAATAATTTAGACTCATTAATTTAACCATAGTTTTTTTGTGTGTGTATCCAAATTATATTTGGGAATGTTATTTCATCCCTTATTTTTATTTTATTTTTGTCATTGAATGCAAAAATGTTGTTTTGTTTCTTTGTTATTTTGTACTATGTTTAAACTGTAATATGTAATCAAATATAGCTACAGTGATCCCTCGTTTTTCGCGGGGGTTGCATTCCGAAAATAACCCGCGATAAGTGAAATCCGCGAAGTAGTTACCTTTTTTTTTTAACAACTATTACAGAGCATAATTAAATACTCTACATTGAAACCAAAGAACAAAATCTGTTTTCAGGTCAGCGGATGTGCGTGTGCATCAATCACGGTATTAATGTCATCCGGAGTCGTGTCATTAAGTCGTCACCTCCAAGATGCTTTGCGAGAATCACAGCTGTATCTACGGTAGAGTCTCCGGCCAGTTTTTTCAGCAGGCATTCAAAGTTTCAGTTTCCATCTCCTTAATGGACAATCTGTATTACGAGGTTAATGGACAATCTGTATTACGTATATTTTAGCCAATCAGGACGCAGAACATAATGCACTGTGGAAAAAAACTGCACTAAAAAAAAAAAAAAAATCCGCGAAGCAGCGAGCCCGCGAAAGGTGAACGGCGTTATAGGGGGGGATCACTGTAATAGTTTAACATTTTCAATAGAAATTATCAAGCAACATAACGGAACTGGACGTGCGAGAACCTGACTGCTCCCGGTGGCGTACGTGACAAATGGCAGGTTTCAGCTACATCTCCATAGTAACGGGCTCCGAGCTCGTATTGTCTGGTTGGACGTCGAACTGAACTCAGTCCGTAAGCTTGTTTTTTAGTGCAAATACATAACTGTGTTGTTGTTTCCGACCATCTGTAAGTCTTATTTAACAATTAAACAACCTTTGGACATTTTACAGCGTCCTTTATTGTACCGTTTAAAACACTTGTAGCTAACGCCTAATATACACAAGATTTTTAGTTCAGTTTGTTTATTATTAATATAATATATTCACCTTTACAATAGCAATAGCATTATATATATTTATGTAACTATTGTTTTTGAAAAGAAGGCAGACAGAATAGAAGTCAACTTATTTCACCTGCCCTCTTCTTGTGTCTTACGTTACATATTATTCTTTATATATATATATATATATATATATATATATATATATATATATATATATATATATATATATATATTCACACACAAGTTACAAGTTTTTAAACTTGTAACTTGTGTGACGGTGGATATTTGATATCCAAATATAATGTTAAATATAATATTAAATGTGATGGTCAAATATAATTTTATGCAAAGTTAGTTTAGTCCCAATTTTCCCTCTCTTAAGGATGCTCCTATTGTCTGTGGTATAGTCTGGTTCGCTCAGAAGGATGTCAGGACTATTCCGACCCAAAGAAGGGGAGATTCAACATGCTGGATTGTCTTGGCCCAGTGTCGCGACTTGTGTGAGGGTCCCAGAGGACGCAACCTGTAATAATCACAAAATGAGCCTGAAGCCTGAAAAACGGTAACGGACTAAATTTCCTATTTGTGTGGGAAGAGTTAGCATCTTTTGAGTGTGTTTTTTCTGTTGAGGTCTGATACACTAGTGGAGTTGTTTTGTTTTCTGTCAACCCCTTATCCATCCAACAAAATATTGTTCCTTACAGTCAGTTTGCCTATCATCACTATCATAAAGAGGAGAGCCCTCATCTTGGATGGCGGGAACAGATCCTTAGTGAATATATAAATCCTTCATAAAATCATTTAAAACAGCAGAAGATTGAACATTTATGAAGTTCAAATTAATATTTAGACCCATCAAATATCCACACATGATGTTTAGTAATTGCACTTTACATTTAATATTGAGAGATTAAACATCAGGTGTTTAATCTTCGTTTAAACACCTGATGTTAATAAACAATAAAAGTTCTGGCTCATCAGATATTTAAACCAGTGCATTATATTTAAATTAAAGCTTCATTATTCATGAAGACGAAGTGAAAACACGCAGTTGGTTAGTACAGGTTAATCTAAAACGGGTTCCCAACCATTCGATCAAAATCAATCGTTGATCAGGAGACAAACTGAACGTCACCAAGAGGTTGAGACGAGCTCATCCAGGGGCGGAATGGACCATTTTCCAGGCCAGGAACTTGATCTTAAAACTAAATTTAATCCACTTTAACTCAGGTCAGATTGTTGCTCCTGTTGTCCTGGTATTCATTTGGTATCTGATTTTCTGCAGCATCACATGAGACCCTCTGAAAGAAATGTTTCTGGACTTTAGATGACAAAACTCACAAATATATTGTAATAAAGAAGAAAAAAATTCTTTGTAATCAAATTGTTTTATTGAAAAAGCCGAAGAAACAGAACAACAGACATTTTGGTTTACCATCTAAATCTAAAGAATTGAGAAGAAAACAAGCAGCACCAGTTTTAAGTTGATTTTAGTTTTGGTTTCTTATTTGGATCACAATAAAGAAATCAGAATTAAGTTCAGTTCCCTTCAGTATCACCTGATTAAAACAAAAGCGACATGTGCAGAACAGCAGAAGGGAAACCAGACCATCCAAATAAATCAATATAAATATTAAGGCACAAATACAATCACATAATTGATTCATAGCAAAGTTACGTTTTATGCATTTACATCTGTTTGATTTTATTTAAAACTCGTATACATATGCCTTTAAATTAATTATTATCTACATAATCTAATACATTTTAGAATGCATTGAATATAATTAGTTAATATATACTAACAAAGTCTAAGTATTTAAAGTTGTAAAACAAACGAGTTTCTGGCATTTAAATTTTATGCGAATGGTTTTCATTGAAATTATGAGAAGTGAAATAGGGAATCGGACACAATGTCCTGCACCTGTAGGTAGCAGTAAAGTCCCTTTAAGTTGGCTGCCACCCGTCTCAAGAAGGGAAAAGAAAAAGAGGACGTACTTTCCCCAGCACTCAGGTCCATGTGACGGACATGGGACTGTGGCTCTGTGGGAAGAGTAGTTGTCTTGTGATTGCAAGTTTGTAGTTTCATTTCTAGTTTCCTTCTGCCATATGTACTCTGGACAAGACACTTAATCCCAAATTACCTAATGATTGGTATAAAAATGTTTGTGAATGTGTAAAGTGCTTTGAGTAGGCAAAAATTATTAAACAACTGATTTGTAAGTTCAGTCCATTTATCATCACAACTGACTGAATAGGAAGGAATTGCATAAATGTGATAGTTCAGTTTATTGCATATAGGTAACTTGATTTTTATACAATTCAAACAATATACCTTACGTGTTTGAAATAAATACACTTGTTATTGTTAATTTAGTATAATTTAAGTATTTAATATAGTTCAAGTATTTAATAATATCAAATACTTAAACCTAAAGATTATGCCATTATAATAAATGGGCTTTATTACATTGATGAATATGAATCGTGTAAAGTTTATTTGATAGGTTTGCATTTAAATTATTTAAAAAAGGTAAATGGAAATTTGTCATATAATAAAAATTACATAAATCTTAAAAGTTAGTGTTAAATATTTCTGTGTGTATATTAATAAACTCAGATAAATTTAGATTTTTGTGTGTAGAAAATTTCTATCATATCAGAATGACCAAGCATATCAGCAGTGATTTTCTTTCCTGGAACACAGGGAACTACATTTAAACCAGAAAAATAAAGAACAGAACAGCAGAGACATCTGAACAATAAATCCTGATCAACAATCAGAGAAAAGAGTGAAAATCTATCTGAGTTTACAGAACTCCACAGAGTCTCCAGGGTTACCAACCCAAACTCCAGCCAGTAGCGGTTCAGTGAATCTGGTCTGGACTCTGTGGAGGAGAGTCATGGTTTCAGAGACGCTGTAGAAGGACAGAATACCTGCTCTGTGGTCCAGGTACACTCCGACTCTGGAGGGAACTGGAGCTGAGATGGGGGTCCAGATGTCCTTGTGACCAAAGTGAAAACTGTTTTGGGAACACTCTAAAGCCCAAGACTTTTCATTATTTCCAAATCCACATTCATTCTTATCTCCTGCTCTGCTGATATTCTTGTATGCGACTGCTACATCAACTGCCCCACATCTCTCCACCTCCCAGTAACAACGTCCAGTCAGACTCTCTCTGCTCAGAACCTGACACCAATAAGTGAATCTGTCTGGGTTACTAGAATAAGACTGATCCAGATTTATTCCTGTCACCTTCCTGTTACCCTCTGATAGCAACAACTGTGTGTGTGCTGTGTTTGGATCCAGAGTGATTTCACATGAGTATTTTAAGAATCCAGCTCTGCTCTTTGGTTCTGGTCCTGGCAGTAAAACATCCACATCATTAAGTCTATGTAAGATGTTTGTCCATGAGTCTTTCAGGACGTCCTGTAGTTTATCTGTGAGCTCTGACACAGCTGCTCTCGCGTCCTCAAAGTATCTCAGAGGACGGCCAATGATGCTGGATGAGTGTGTCGACTTACTGAGTGTTGGCAGTGAGGGGTAGTTGAGGAGAAACTGGCTGTGATCCTCTGTGTGTGAGAGCTGCTCCAGCTCAGCGTCTTTCCTCTTCAGCTCAGTGATCTCCTGCTCCAGCTTCTCCTGAACATCTTTGACTCGGCTCACTTCAGATTCCTGCTGGGATCTGATCTGCTGCTTCACCTCAGAGCTTCTTTCCTGGAGGAGACGGATCAGCTCAGTGAAGATCTTCTCACTGTCCTCCACTGCTTTATCAGCAGAGCCATTGATGGCCTCCACCTCCTGTTGAAGCAGCTTCACATCTTTCTCTCTGTCCTGGATTCTCTGCTGGATGTTTCCTCGTCTCTCCTCCAGCTCTGTCTGCCTCTCAGTCTCTTCTGTTGCAGCTGAGACTGTGATGTGGCCTTTATGTTCATCCATGAAACAGGTGAGACAGATATACTTCCGATTATTGAAGCAGAACATTATCATCACTTCATCATGCTTAGAGCAGATGTTCTCCTGGAGGTTCTTGGACGGCTCCTCCAGCTTGTGTTTCTTTAATGGACCCACGTCATAATGAGGCTGAAGGTGTTTCTCACAGTAAGAGGCCAGACAGACTAAACAGGACTTGATGGCTTTCAGTTTTCTTCCAGTGCAGACATCACAGGCCACATCTTTATGTCCAGCATAGCAGTGGTCACCAGGAGCAGCTTGGAGCCAAGTCATCTTCAGCTGCTCCAGTAAAGCTGCTAGCATGATGTTCTTCTTTAGCACAGGCCTCGGTATGAACCTCTCCCTGCACTGAGGGCAGCTGTATATTCTCATCAAATTAACTCCATCCCAGTGGATCCAACTCTCTCCATCCCAGTGGGTTTCAATACAGTTCATGCAGTAGCTGTGTCCACAGGCAGTAGTCACCGGATCCTTCAGTAGATCCAGACAGATCAAACAGGAAAAAGTTTCTCGGTCCAGCTGATTCTGCTCCATTTCTGCTCTCAGTCACAGTGAATGTTAGTTTCATTTACTGAAAACATAAACCGGTTTGAGCTTTTGTCTGTAAATCACGTGTCAGAGCAGAGAGGCTGCAGCCAATCAGCTTTCACCATCAGCAGACGTTGGACCCAACCCGCCATAATATTTGTTTTATAGCAGGAAATACAGGAAAAGGAGGTGATTGTTGATTTCAGGAGGAACAGTGTCAGATCAAGCCGTATTTCTGTCATGGGAAAAGAAGTTGAGGTTTTTGAGGAATATAAATACCTCCATGTTCGCTTGGAAACAGACTGGATTGGAGACGCAACAGTGAAGTCATCTATAAGAAGGGACAGTGCAGACTGGTCTTCTTAAGGAAGCTAAGATCCTCCAAGGTTTGCACAAAGATGCTGCATATCTTGTATCAGTAAAAGGTAAAGGTAATTTTATTTATACAGCCCACTTTCAGCAATACAAAGTGTTTTACATGAATTAAAAGGAAACACAAACAAAATAACAAAACAAAGAGCAAAAGAAGAAAAAGAATCTAATGTTGATCTGTTCAAAGTATATAGGGTTTCTAGATAAGTATAGGTAAGTATCATCTGGTCTAATTCCTTTTCTGGGTTGGAAGGGGTCTAAAAAGTAGTTGCTAAGGTAGTTTTTTCTGGATTCTAAGTTTGTTCTCATCTCTGTTCTGGCTTGCTAAATAAGTGTAAGTAAGTAAGTATCCTCTGGACTTCTGGGTTGCTAGATAAATATAAGCAAGTATTCACTGAACTTTCTAAGTATGCTCTAAATTTGTAAAAGTAATGAGTACTCAACAGTTTCTAATGATAAAAACTAAATGTTCCTGTTCTGGAAGAATTTTTTCTGGATTCTAGATTCCCTCTAATTCCTTTTCTGGGTTTCAATAATAGGAGTCCCTCTGCATAGTAATATAAAAATTAATCTAAGAATTATTATATTCAGTCTGTTGTTGAGTGTCATTTCTTCTGCTGTCACCTGTTGGGGCAACAGCATCAGAACTGGGGAACTAAAAATGTTCAACAGCCTGATGAAGAAGGCTGGTTCTGCTCTGCGGATGACTGTGGAACCTCTGAAGATGACAATGCAAAGAAGAATTCTTCATAGGATCAAGAAAATTATGGACAACCCTGACCATCAAATGCATGAGACTGTATTGGGAAAACAGAGTGTCTTCAGTTCGAGACTTCTTCAGATTCAATGCAGTGCAGACCGCTTCAGAAAATCTTTCCTGCCAATAGCCATCGCCATCTTCAATAACTCTTTGAAGAATTATTGAGTTATAACAACTTTTGGGGTGTGCTGTGGTGGCGCAGGGGCTAAGCACAACCCACATATGGAGGCCTTAGTCCTCAACGCAGCTGTCGCAGGTTTGATTCCCGGCCTTGGTGACCCTTGCTGCATGTCTTCTCCCTTCTCTCATTACCCACTTTCCTGTAAATTAACTATCAAATAAAGGCCACTAGAGCCAATAAAAAAAAAACTTTTAATTTCCCTTTGGGATTAATAAAGTATTTTTGAATTTGAATATCAGCCTTGGGGAATTTCTTGAAGATGATTAACTGAATAACTGGTTTAAGAAGTTACTCTATTTGTCCTGTTTTAGTGAAGTGACAACACTCATTCAAGTTTACTTGTATGGCACATTTCAACAACAAGGCAGTTCAAAGCGTTTTACATCATAAAGCAAAAAAGAAGTCATAAAAACACCATACTGGATCTCTAGTATACTGGATCCATAGTGGATCTCTAAAGGCATCCACTTTTCAGCATAACAACGCTGTGCAACCTGGCATGTCTCTCTGCACTGCTATGACAGTGAAAGAGAAAGAGAATATATTCTTAATTCTTAATTGGTATTTATTCGAAGGCTCTACAGCACATGTGTCAAACTCAAGG